GGGCGAGGGAGAGAATCTCAAGCAGACTCCTTGCTGCGTGCGGAGCCCAATGAGAGGCTAAATCTCATGACCCTGAGATCATGACCTGAACTGAAACCAAGAGTCAGATGCTCAACCAACTGAGCTGCCCAGGTGCCCCCTAAGATTTTATTTTTAAGTAATTTCTACACCCAATGTGGGGCTCACACTCACAACCCCAAGATGAAGAGTCCCACACTCCACCGACTGAGCCAGCTAGACCCCCCCCTTTCCTAAGTTTTATGCTACTTTTTGAGATGCTTATTGGAAGTGTTAATAACAGTTAACATTTACAGCTCAGCCATCTTTAGATACAAATATCGCACCTAACTCCCATCCTCTGTGTTCTGAGTTTCTCGTTACTCATTAGGACTCCTGTAACAGTGCTCTTTGAATATTGTATCAAAGAGGATAACTTGGACTTTTCTGGTATTCGGTATTTTATTGTTTTCCTAAAAAGTGAGTGCAGCTCCATCATGAATCATTTGTAAAAGAATGGGAATTAGTGTATTCTTGGAGAGTGTTTCGGGCTCTGGGATGCCATGCTCCTCAAGTGTGGTATAAGGGACCCTTTCACAGGTTTGCTAAGCCAGTTGGCTGTGGTAAAGCCTTTTACAAAAATGGAAACCCGGGGCGCCTGGGTGGCTCAGTCGTTGAGCGTCTGCCTTCGGTTCAAGTCATGGTCCCAGGGTCCTGGGATCAAGCCCCGCATCGGGCTCCCTGCTCGGCGGGAAGCCTGCTTCTCCCTCTCCCACTCCCCCTGCTTGTGTTCCCTCTCTCGCTGTGTCTCTCTCTATCAAATAAATAAAAAATCTTAAAAAAAAAATGGAAACCCAAATCCTGACAATTCTCCCTCTACTTGTACTTTATGGACACATTTGAAGGCAGAAAGGTTGAAATAAATGTTGTGCTCCAGAAACATAGCAGTTTCTTGGTAAGGCCTAACAGAATGTGGATCTCTGATCATTGAAATGATGTCGTAAAATTAAGTGGGAGAGTACTTCTATTAACTCTGACTTTTCCCCTTGCACACGTGTGTTGTGACTTTATGCATGTGTGACTTTTGTCAACTCTGTCTGTACAGTCAGTTGCAGGCTTCCGAGTGTCATTCATCCTACTTGCTAATGACCACAAAATCCTAAAGAACATCCTACACACATCTCAGAATTTCTATCTATGCAAATTAAAAGTAATTTTAATGCTCAAGACAGTGAAACAAGTTAGTAGATTGTCTACCACCATAATTATTTCTACCTCATAAGTAATATGCTTCCCAGGTGGATAAATTCAAAATGCTAATTTCCCAATGGTAAATATGCATGATTTCATTCTGGGTGATCTGAACTGGAGAAAAATTATGACTCAGTCTTGAATTTTACTATGCACCATTTTCGCTTGGATGTTCCATCATCCCGAGTTCCACTTACCCAAGTCAGAAGTGCATATTTTTCTTCTGAGAGAGGCCACCTTCCCAATTTTCCTATTTCCTATTCTCCAAGTCACCCAAAAGCAAAATTTGAGTCCTCTGAGATTTCTCTGTCTTCTTTAACTCATAAGCTTCTTTGTTACCATAACCTGTCAATTCTTCCTTTAGGAATCCCCCATACTACTTTTATTTCATTCCAAGCCCTCACCATCCACTTATTCAGTCAACCTGCAAATATTTACTGGACATCTACCATGTGCCAGGCCCTGCGCGTATGGTGTAGTGAGGAAGACGGACTGTAATAAGCACACACAGATGTAAACCTGCAGTGGTGACAACTACTCTGAAGAAGAGGTATGGGGTGAGGGCGCCTGGGTGGCTCAGTTGGTTAAGCGACTGCCTTCAGCTCAGGTCATGATCCTGGAGTCCCGGGATCGAGTCCCGCATCGGGCTCCCTGCTCGGCGGGGAGTCTGCTTCTCCCTCTGACCCTCCTCCCTCTCATGCTCTCTGTCTCTCATTCTCTCTCTCGCAAATAAATAAAATCTTTAAAAAAAAAAAATCTAAAAAAAAAAAAAAAAGAAGAGGTATGGGGTGTCCTCAGAGCCTAGAATAGATTGGTGTGACCTAGTCATAGAGGCTAAAGAAGGTAGCAGGCTTCCTTGAGGAAGTGATGCATGAGCTGAGCTCTGAAGGATGAGGAGAAGAGGGATGGGAAGAACATCCCAAGTACAGGTAACAGGGTAGGTAGCAGTCATGTGGTGGGAAAGAGAATGCCAAGTATTGGAGGATTTAAATGAGGCTGGTGGGCTGAAGCCCAAGAAACAAGGGAGAAACCTCACACAGAGTGAGGCCAGATAGGTGGGTAGGGACCAAACTGCACATAGCTTTGTAAGCTCTATTAAGAGGCACACTTTTTTAATCCTAGGAATAATAGAAGGCCACTAAAGGGAGCTAAGTTTGTGTGTATTTGTGTGTGTGTGTGTGTGTGTGAGAGAGAGAGAGAGAGAGAGAGACATGATAAAATTTGCATTTCAAAAAGATCATCCTGATTGAACTATGGAACAGATTGGAGGGGGGCCAAGAGCAGAGGGAGAGAGTTCAGTTGGGAGGGTACTGCAGAGTCCAGGTGAAGAGACTGATGGTGGTTTGGTGAGGATGGTAAGTGATTGAGATGGAGAGAAACAGATGGAATCAAGAGCTATTTAGGAGGTAAGAGTCATAGGGCAAAATTATGGGTTGGCTATGGCAGGTGAGAGAGAAAAGGAAGGAGACCGCGGGAGAGGGTTTTGGCTTGCATGATTGAATGTATGATGATGTCTTTCACTGAGAGAGTACTGAAAGAGGACCCAGTTTGGAGAGAAGACAATGAGTTCAAATTGGGGCGTATTGAGTTTGAGGGGTTAAGGAGATATCCAAGAGATGTCAAGTGAGCAATGGTGGAGCTCAGAATAGAGATCTGGTCTAGAGATATAAACTTTGACTTTCATCTGTGTACAGGTGTAAACTCAAATATGAAGGTGTATGGAGGAACCACAGGGTAAGAAGAGAAGAGGTGCTGGGACCAAGGCTTGAGGAACTCTAATATTTAATGACTGGATTAAATAGGATGGGTCTGCAAAGGAGATAGAAAAGGAGTGGCCGGAGGATCAGGAGAAAGCCCAAGAGTGTGTTATGTCATGGAAATAATGAAAAGAGTATTTTAAGAAGGATGGAGTAGTCAACATTGTCAAAAGCTGTTGAGAGGTCAGATAAGATGAAGACTGAAAAAGTATCCATAGTATGTGTCCTCATGGAGGCCATTGGTGGCCTTAGTGGGTGCTGTGCGGTGGAATGATGACAAAACCCAGACTAGGGTGGGCTAAAGAATGGGGCCGAGGAGGGTGGAGACAGTCAGTATAGATAAAACTTTCTTTAAAGTGATGTGATGGGGAGGAGGGAGATGGGACAGTACCTGCAGAGATGTGGGGCTTTTATTTTTTTTATTGTAAGAGACTAGAAGATGTTTTATTTTTTTTTTAAAGATTTTATTTATTTATTTGACAGAGAGAGAGAGAACACATGAGAGGGGATAGGGTCAGAGGATGAAGCAGACTCCCCGCCGAGCAGGGAGCCCAATGCAGGATTCGATCCTGGGACTCCAGGATCATGACCTGAGCCGAAGGCAGTCACTTAACCAACTGAGCCACCCAGGCGCCCCTAGAAGATGTTTTAAATCAGGAAGGAAAGGCTCCTTAGGAAAAGGAGGGATAACTGCGATGGTAGCGCAGCTGAGTTTCTGATCACTTCAGTTAGGTTTTCCTGTGAAGTAAGGGACACAGTTACTTAATAAACATGTGGGGGCAGAGTATGATAATGAGGAAGGTTTTATTTTATGTATTTATTTATTTTTAAGATTTTATTTGATGAGAGAGGGACAGAAAGAGAGAGAGGAAGCGTACACAAGCAGGGGGAGGGGCAGAAGGAGAGGGAGAAGCAGGCACTCCGCTGAGCAGGTAGCCCAACGTGGGGCTCGATCCCAGGACCCTGGGATCATGACCTGAGCCGAAGGCAGATGCTTAACTGCTGAGCCACCCAGGCGCCCCAATGAGGAAGGTTTTATTTATTTTTTTATTTTTTAAAGATTTTATTTATTTATTTGAGGGAGAGAATGAGATAGAGAGAGCATGAGAGGGGGGAGGGTCAGAGGGAGAAGCAGACCCCCCGCCGAGCAGGGAGCCCGATGCGGGACTCGATCCCGGGGCTCCAGGATCATGACCTGAGCTGAAGGTAGTCGCTTAACCAACTGAGCCACCCAGGCGCCCGAGGAAGGTTTTAAATAGTTACTGTAGAGAGTAGTAGCAAAATTGACCAAAGAAAAGTAGTGGGATGGCTGGGCAGTGTGAAAGGCTTATTTGGGGTTGGTGATGATGAAATTATAGAAATACTAGTTCATCCCCTTGTGTGACCGTGTCCGGCAGTGCTTGACCGCTCAAGTGCAGGTATGGAGGTGATGGAGAGTTGGATTGGCTCAGAGTTGGTGGGAGTGAGGTGAGGAGGAGGACTCTACCAGCCTCCTAAAAAGTCTCCTTGCTTTCAGTGTCTTCCTGTTCCTATCCATCCTGTATACGAAATTCATTTTTTTTTTTTTTTTTTAGAGAGAGAGAGAGAGCATGGGCGAGCATGCGAGTGGGGTTGGGAAGGGGCAGAGGAGAGGGAGAGAGAGAATCTTAAGCAGGCTTCATGCCCAGCACAGAGCCCAATGCAGGGCTCAGCCTCATGACCCTGAGATCATGAGCTGAGCCGAAATCAAGAGTTGGACACAACCAACTGAGCCACCCAGGCGCCCCTGAAATGGATATCCTTCTACTTGTTACATAATGAGGGCATTTTGAGAACCATATAGAGATTTTAGAAAGTAGAAAATCATCTTAAGAAAAACCAAGTAATCAAGTGGCTTGATTATATCTGATACTTATCGCCTCTTAAAAACATGAGAAAAAATTATAGAGCTCTAACAGAATTGTCTCTGATTTCTAAAGCCAAATCCAAAGTAACACATGCTTTCTAATTTTTCAGTTGTTTCTGAAAATATAACAATTCAAGAAATGAGCACAACTCTTTCACAACAAATAGATTTGACAACTCCATCCCAAGTTACTGGACTAAAACCACAAGAGACGATATATTCTTCTACAATGACGTTTAAAAGCATGCCTCTTGGGGCGCCTGGGTGGCTCAGTTGGTTAAAAGCATGCCTCTTTTTGCAACTGATTATACAACCGTATCATATTCCAATACAACATCTCCACCTCTGGAAACAATGACTGCACCAAAATTTTTGAAGACACCCGTAGCTGAGACAACCAGATTCACGGCAGACATTTTGTCTACTTCAGCGGCCATCACTCTGCCTACCAAGAGTACCTCTATAGGCACTACTACCAACTCCATGAAGATAACTAAATCCCCATCTTCAGAGAGCACAAGGACAACAAAAATGGCTGAAGCCATTGCTACTGAGACCTTTCATCCAACTACAGCTACGAATTTTCTATACATGTCCGGACTTACCAAGAATTCAATTATATCCAAGACTTCAGTGACTGGATCTCAGTCAACCATTAGGAAGACAACATCTTTATTCTCATCTGCTGAGTCGATACCCATATCTACAACATCTTGGCCCAAACACAAATCCACAGGTATGGATGCACCTTCAATCGCCACAGCTAGCCAGGAGTTTCTTGCCTTTACAGCTGCTGGAACAGTACCTTGGTCCACGGTGGAAGAGACTTCAGCTACAACTACTCACGTTGGGACTGCATCAACATTCCCACCTGAGTCTGTGCTCAGCTCCACAGTTGCTCCAGTGGATTCTGTATTTCCTAGAAATCAGACAGCATCCACATTGGTAAGACTGGCATGGAAATAGCATCTCCAGTTCATTCAAAAACGCTCCCAACTAGGCCTATTGAGATGATGCCTGTGCTAACAGCTGAAACAGAATTGACATCTACAAATTTCCAAGACGTCTCTTCACCCAGAATGGTGGATACAATATCTACCTTCATACCAAAAAGGGCCTCTTCTGTGGCCCTTTCTTTCAAGACATCCTCCCCGTTCACCAGAGCTCAGAGTGTACAGCCAGTTATTGATGCTGAGACTACACACACAGCCTTGACTCTTGGGGTCACACTTGCACCCAAGGCAACTGACACTCTACTTCCCCCCATAACACCTGGGCCAGTATATACCCAGAATACACCCACAGGTGGCGGAAATGCTTCCTTTGAATGCCACTAGATCAGCTTCCACATTCAAGGCGTCTGAGTCTGGTCACACATCGATAACTGATGATGGTGCCCATCTGTTCGCTACCAATGAAACCACGTGGACTCCCAGGCCAGACCAGACCTTGTGGACATCAGCGTTCCATGGGAGCGCTTCTAATGCGGGACATTCATCCACTGCTAGCACTGCTACTACCCCACCAGAAGCCCCCTCCGGAAGCGAGGCTACCACTATCACTGATGCTAGCGTGACTGCTGGTGCCTCTACAGACAGATACGCAACAGCTCTATCCACGCTCACGACTTCATGGCTTGCTAATTTCACCACAGTTTCCGGAACCACATCTGTAACCAAATTGCCTGAGATTAAACTTACCACTTTAGGACACAAAACTACTCCTCTGCCCACAGCAGCTGGAGGTGAGCTTCTTTCAACACCAAGGGAGACATTGGTTCCACCGGTAGATATCATACCTACCCTTGCTGACATTGGACCAAATGTCTCTACTGAGGAGAGCGCTAACGGTCTTGCGACAAGGACAGAAACAGCTTCCCGGTATCTTGAGGGAAAATCAACTCTAGCAGTGACAACTGAGCTTTCCCCATTTGCAACAATGCTGGAAGCAACAGAATCTGCACAAATGGTAACAGCCTCTGTCACCGTTTCCCCTTTTCCTGACGCAGAAAAGTTGACCACCCCGTTGGATGATAAAACTGCAACCACTGAGGTGAGAGGAAGTTGGATTTCTACAAAATCGATGGAAACCACACCTAAGAGCTCCTACGACGGAACCACAGAAATCTTTAATTCTGCCCACACCCACACAGCACACTGGACTTCAGAGGCTCCACCGGAGGGAAATCCAACTCCATCTCCCAATTCTGGGAGCACACAGACATTCCCTGAACCCTTGGGTGCTTCCACCACAAGGATTTGGGGAACCAGTGTTGCCACTCTCCCTACAGACATGACAGCTATGTCCTTGTCTGCTGGCATCTTGTCTCCACAGCCTACTGCTACCCATTCCTCAGCAGCCCCTGCGCCATCAGCTATGGTGACCACAGCATCCGCATCACCATTGGATCAGACAGCTTCCACGACCAGCGATACAGTGCCTACCCACAGACACTCGGTTCCCACCACTTCAGAAGCCACAGTGTTCTCTGTCAGGATGACACCCACGGCAGTTCCCTCTCTGACAGAGACTCCAGTCGCCTCGTGGAGGCCTCCCACTCCCGTGGCAACTAAGGCCGAGACCACCTTTCTCTTCACCTCAGCTGACACAGTAACCCCATTTACACCCACTCTTGTCTGCTCTAAATCTCTCCCCAGCAACATTCCTGTTGTGTCCTCCACCCATGTGATTTCAACTACGTTGACACCAGGAGCAACCCAGCCCATATCTCAAGGGGAGGAGACTTCTACCCACGCTCTCAGCCTTCCGTACACTCTCAGCAGCAGTGAGAATGTAGTTAGCTTGGCTCCTAGCTCCACAGAAACTTCTGTTGTTGATGAGACCATGCCCTCACACACCTCTGCCAATAAGCTTCCAGTAGATGGTCACATTTCTCAGTCTCCAACAGGTCTTGGAAACACACTGGTCCCCACCCTATTAGTGACTGACATTTCTACCATATCTTCTGACAAAGAGCGGACGGCCATATCCCCGGGAAACGCCCCTAGAACTATGGAGGCGACAGAAACGTCCCCATCAAAGAATCCTTTTATTTCAGACTCCCAGAGTACTTCATCCTTGGAAATGACAGAGACAGGATTTGCTGAGACCACAACAATTTCCAGTCACCAAACACATTCACCTTCAGAGTTTCCACTTGCAACTCCACCTGACAAGATTTCAGCTTCATCTCCCACTTCTGGGACTATACAGACTACACCTACCTCTCTCTCAAGTCACACAGTAGATGCTCACATTCCAGAAATGTCTACCAGTCTTGGGAAAACAGCCCTCCCTTCACAAGCCCTGACAATTACCACATTTTTGTCTCCTGAAAAAGAAAGCATCAGTGCCCTTTCAGTATATACTCCCAGGACTGAGAAAATGATAGGAAGTACCACCTCTGTGACTCACCCTTTCTCATACCGCCAGGGTACTTCATCTGTAGACACCATAACTTCCAGGACAACAAGAATATCCAGTCCTGTAAATGTCAACACAACCCTTTCATACTCGCTTTCCCCTAAGACTCAAACTGAGGTGACTTCAGTTGCTTCTCCCATTTCTGAAAGTACACAGACCTTCCCTGAGTCCCTATCTCTTTCCACAACTGGACTAGCTAGTGCCAATTTTACAGTCGTCTCTGCTGATGGGATCACTGCGGCCCTGTCTGCTCCAAATGCACCTATGGTACTTCTTGGGAAAACCTCTGTGGCGACATCGACTCCTATCTACCAGATGTCCTCACTGCCAGTCAGTGTCACTGCCTTCAGCTCCAAAAGAGTTTCTGACACTCCCACAATACCAATAAAGAAATCTTCTAAAATAGCACACCCAGACTATTTGAAAAGTCCCTCCATAGCCACTTCTGGGCCTATGTCTGAGATGCCCTCAATGTCAGTTAATGGCTCTGCTTTCTCACCTCCAGCTGTTTCTTTTGACACTTCCACAAGAGTTGGATCATTCTCTTCATTATTGTCTACCCCTAAGACTACTATGACCCTACAAACATCTACATTGGATGTCGCACCTGGGCCTACTTCAAAAAGTGCACTGTCTTCCTCTGCTTCCTTTACTTCAGGAATGTTGGAGGTGTCCTCCAGGATCACACCTACATCCTCTTCCTCTCTGACACAGCCAACTTTCCCCTCTGTGAAAACCATTCCAGCCACTGTTATGGCGGGGATAGCGATTCCATCTGTAGGTACCGCTGCCTCCTCTCTACTCGGTTCTAGGAACACTGAAGCTATTTCTTCCATTCCAAAGACCACATTTTCACCATTTCGATCAACAACTCGGCACTCGTCACAAAGAGATGAGACTACAACTCTGGGCATATTATCTCTCACAAACACTTATTCCAGAACTGCTGCCCTTGAAAGTGTGCTTTCATCTACTCCGTCAGATAATCTCTATACTTCATTGAATATTCAGGTTTCCCCATCTTTGACGAGCTTTAAGAGCACTCCTGGACCCACAGAAAGGGTAAAAGCCACCACTTACCTTTCTTCGAATACAGATAAGATGACTCCCTTGTCAGAAAATACTTCAGCAGCTGAACTAACAAAAGGTGCCACATCTGTGGTTACCCCTGTTTTGTACCCCCCACAGACTCCATCCATCGCAATGCCACCCTCTGTGACATCATTTCTTTTTTCACCTCATAGTACTGAAGCCAAGTTCTCCACTCCAGAGACTTTTTTCCCTCTTACGTCCCAAACGGTTGAATTTCCAGTTCTGGGAACGAGAATCACATCTGGTAACACCCAGTCTCTGCTTATGACTTCCTGGAACACACCCACAGCTAAAGGTTCTCAATTTCCAATTTCCACCACTACTCATACACCTACACCCTGCAAGGTGGAAACAGAGACTCCATACCTTGTTCCTGGGTCTTTGTCAACATTCACAGCTTCTCTCACTGGTCTGGTATCTGGAGATGTTATGGCAAAGTCATCAATTCCCACGTCAGGAATTCTTCCTACGTTGGAGATGTCTGACAGCCCTTCATCACCAATATCTTCAAGACCTACCACTATCACTTTGGCTGACATTAAGCACACATTTGAGAAGACAGCTACATCTGTAACTCCTGGGACTACCCTCGCATGGAATCCTTCTGGTGCCACTTCAGGATCTATACTTTCAGAGGCTACTAGTTCATCCATGCTGGCTTGGATTTCATCTACTCTCCCTTCGGGTTCTCCACTGGCAACTGTACCCGGTATTTCTCACACTCTAACTTCTTCTCCAGTAGAGGTGTCAAAGTCTGCATTTCTGACTTCTGACACCATACCAGCGCGCTCATTCACTCACTTGGCAACACTACCCTTTGCTGCTGTAAGCACCGCACTCACCCAAACCACTCCTACACCTACAGTGGGCAGTATCACTACTGGCTTCCCAATTTCTCTCCCCGTATCTATACAAATCCCAGCTGACAGTGCATACACTTCTAAATCCCCCGAGGCATCTCCCAGAACCACTGTGACTGCCAACTCCAGGACCGTGTCTCAACCTCTACCCTTTAGCAGAATGAGTAGGTCACCTCCTGCAAGTGACCACATCCTATCTATTAGTTCTGAGCTTCCGCCTCGCCCTGCAGGAACATCTGCATGGAGCAGAATCCCAGCTGCATCAGCATGCCCTACTTTAGTTCTTCCTAAGCCCACGCTGGACTCCTTTCCAAATATAACCACCACTACACTTACGGCTGCCTCATTTCCACTCACATCCACTGGAGTAACACATCCTTCTACAGCGGCTTTGTCTTCACTACTCTCTTCCTCTTCTGAGACAACCCAGTTGGACTCCACACCTTCTTTTCTGTCTATGGAAACAGCAACTTCCCTTACAGCCACTAAGTCCATAGGTATGTTCCACAATAGGGGCAGCGTATCACTAACAAAATGCATGCACAATGGGTCACGTGTTCTCTACGGCGGCCATTTCTCTGAAGGCAGAAAAGGATAAAGGAAGGCATAGACGTTTCCTCTCTCTTTCAGACAATGGGTCCAGGGCATACCTTGTCCAAACACAGAATTCTGCTTAGCTCTGCTTTATTGAAATATAATGCAAATGTATCTTTTCATTCAGCGTGACACTTCTAAATACCTTTCCATCCATTTTGTTCCTGATGCTCTGTCTCTGCCAGGGTGAGCATGGATCAGGAACTTCACCCTCTCCCAGTAGAGAATTATATGGCCTTAGGTCTGACATGATGACTGCATACCAGCAAACACCAGAAGATACTCTAGCCTGCCTTTTTGAATGCCTCTTAGACAGGCCTCAGCTTCTCCAGTCTCCACCTCCAGCCAGCTTGGGAAGCTTATCCATGGCTGGGGAGTATTTGCCTTCCATGTCATTCAAATATTGGATGTCCCTTCCACTTTTCACATTCCAAAATTGAAATCTGATAGGACAGACAAGAGAAAGAGGAAAAGAGAGAAAAACCTGAAGCAGAAAGTAAGGCACAGGAAGAAATAAATATTTTCTCAGGGCAAATGATCTTGTGAGATAATGTTCAGCTTGACCATGAAATGGACTGGAAATGTGTTGGCTAATGAAAATTGAGGATTTGGGGGATTTGCAGAATGTCCATCAACTGTGTAGCCATCAGGAAACTGCCCAAATAATTAAAGCAAAAATGTGATGGTGATCTGTTTTGCTTTTGGATACGGAGCCCAAAGTGCTGGTTCTTGACCTTGGAGTTAAATTAAGCAAAACTTAAGAATGAGACTTCATTGTTGGTCTCTTTAAAATGACAAGCAATTTTCACCAAATTTATGGAAGTTAAATTTCTTGAACTAAGTGAATGAAATTAATCTCATTTTTAATTACAGTTTCCTTCTACAATATTGAAATGAGCTTCTCTGTGTTTGATAAAGAGCCAAGGATCCTTATTACCAGTGTTGTAAATGAATTTGTAGAAAATTGGGTAAAATAATCTTTTAAATATTTATGGTACATATAAAATATGTGAAGATACATATATGATAGATGGAGTAGATTAAAACTAGGGGTTACTTTTTTTCTACCCATAGCATATTTCACAGCTACTTGGTTTTGATTTTTTGCAGCAAATTTATCCACTCTGTAAGTAACACCGTAAGGATGTATGTGGTCTCTCATAGTGCCAATGCTGAAAGCTTTTATGGGATATTATTTTAATTCGCTTAGAACTGTACATTTCCCTCCACTGACACAAATTCTGGGCCTTTGCCAAATTTTTTTTATTTAGAGAAAAGTAGGAGAGCAGTGATAACCAAGTCTATGCTATTGTATTTACATATGTTTGTTTTCTGCATTTTAATTTTTTTCTCTCCTACACAAGAAATGTTGTATTTATCCTTACATTTTTCTGATAATAAGAGTAATACATACTCTCTGTAAAAAATTCAGACACTGAAATCTGAGACCCAGAAAGTAAATGTCTTCTGTAATACTGCTCCTTGTATTGATTCCTCTTACAGTCTGAGGTATATTCGTTCAGATTTTTTTCCTCTACCTGCGATAACACTGATGCAAGTATGTTCTTTGACAAAAATAACTGGAATCATACAATTATGCTGTCCTGCAACTTGCTTTTTCTCACTTAACTGTATATCTTTGAGCATATTCATGCTGCAAATATTGATCTACCTCATATACTTAAACAGATACCAAGGATTTCACTCGATGGTTGTGATGTAGTATTTTTTTTTTTTTTTAAATCCAGACATCCGTTGGTGGACATTTAGGTTGCTTTTACTTGTTTTTTCTCTATTTGGAACCAATGCAGACAATAACGCCCTTGCAATAAATTTTGGGGACACTTGAGTTTTTCTATAGGATAAATACCCAGAACTGGAATTGTTGGATCAAAGGACACAAACATTTCACATTTTAATAACTAGAGTTAAGTGGCCTCCCAAACAGGTGATACCAATTTGCACCCCACCAACAGTAAACGATCATGTCTGTTTCCTCTCTTTTTCCATCAGCGTTTCTTTGCAAGTGTGTATAACATGATTATAAGTGCTTGAAAGTGGGTGGGTGTATTTGTCCACTAGGTCTGCCATAACAAAATAGGATGCACTGAGGGTCTTAAACAACAGACATTTCTTTTCTCATGGTTCTGGAGGCTGGAAGTCCAAGATCAAGGTGTTGGCAGGATTGGTTTCTCCTGAGGCCTCTCTCCTTGGCTTGGAGATGGACTGTCTTCTCTCTTTGTCCTCGCATAGCGTGCATGCGCGCGCACACCCCCCCCAGAGAGAGAGAGAGAGAGATCTGGGGTCTCTTTCTCTTCTTATAGGAACACCAGTCCTATCAGATTAGGGCTCCACCCTTATGACCATATTTAGCCTCAACTGCCTCCCTTAAAGGCCCTACTTCCAAATATAGTTACATTAAGGGGTTCGGGCTTCAATGTATGAATTTCGGAGACAACACAGTTCAGCCCCAAAATAGAAAAACTGAATGGAGCAGATGGAAATGTTGAACCAACCAAAATAATAAATGCAGCATTGTCTCAGGTACCTTTCCTGGGTTAAGATAGAGGAGTGAGAATACTAAATCTGATATGTTTTATCTTTTACAGTTGAATTCTATATTTCAGGACAGTGAATTTGCTCTTGCTAATCTGGCTATTCAAATCAAAACCAGGTACGTGAGTGTCATCTATTGTGGGTCAAAGGCAGTTTGAGGGATTCTGGGTATGTTCCTATCCAGAGGGGATTTCTTTCTTTCTTTCTTTCTTTCTTTCTTTCTTTCTTTCTTTCTTTCTTTCTTTCTTTCTTTCTTTCTTTCTTTCTTTGTTCTGTCTGAGATTTAGGAACTGCATTTTGAGTTGCATCTTCCCTTCTGAGTGTAGGTTCTCTTTGGAATAACAAAGAAATTCTATCATCACTGTAGGGTGTAAAGCCAATGGGAGAACAAAACAGAAGGAAATAAATTGGGGAAATGGTGGAATTGGATCCAGTTACCCTTAATGCCCCTCTTAGTTTTAAAATGCTATGATTCTGTGACTTTGGGGGGGAAAAATCACGCCTTAAAGGGATGAAAGGCTAGGGATGGCCAATGGTGAAGATATAAGACCCTTTATTTTCCAATAATGCACTTTCAGGAGTTAGAAATTCCAAAAGGAACTTGAAGTGTTTAAAGTGAGAAATGCTGACCAGTCTAAGACTTGCCTGGGGCATGAATTTGGAGAGGTGATTGCATTGCTGCAGGCAGGCATTGAGTAGTCTCAAGGAGCCAAAGACAAAGAGAAGACCCGCCTTTCTCCACCCTCTCCAAGAACTCTGGTTCTTTCCTCTAAAATACACCATGTACATCTTTTCAGGCCAATATGTACGATTTAGCTTATTCATTTTAATGACTGCATAGGATTCTTTTGCATGGGTGTGCCAAGGTGTATTTATCCAATTACCTAGTGATGGACATTTCAGTTATTTTCACTCTTGTTCATATGTTTGTATGCACCCTTGCTGTACTATTATGGGATAGATTCCTGGAAGTGGGGCTGCTCAGTCAAAGACTTACCACCATTTTGGTACATAGATAATAATCAGGCTTTTGAAGTGTCTCCTTAGAGCCCTAGTATTTGAATTCCAAACTGGGGGATTCTACTATTCTGCCTCACATTTGTCTTTCTCCTGAGCTTTTGTCCTAATGTATTGGGCACCATATTTCATATATATATGTGTGTATATATATATATATATATATATATATATATATATATATAAATATATAAATTTGTTTATGCTTTTGATACAGAGACTCTTCTGAGGGGGAAATAACCATGGACCAAACTGTAGTAAGTAATTTTTCAAAATGAATCTACTTGTGACTCCTCCAATACCTGAGTAAATGTAAGTAAAATAGTGCTTCTACCCAAGCATACACCAGGCAAAGCTCAACTGTGGTCATTGAGGATCAAATTACATTTTTTTTTGGCATCTGCACAAGAACCCAGTAAGAAAACCATCCTCTGCTTTTCTCAAGTCCCTGTGGGGCAGTTTTTTGGAGGCACATTTTGTGGGCTATGGAAGTGTGGAGTGACTTGGTTGTAAATGGCAAATGGAATTTCTTGGTTGTAGACATCTTGGAAAGAAGCCTGGTTCTTCCAAGAATGACACAATTTTTGCAAGACTGGCAGTCACATAATAAATCCACCCTTTACCTGTATAGATTTGAAATCAGGGTGTGATAAAATTATCTCCCATCATCCTTGCCCCAATACTCAGTCCTTATTCCAGTGCCTCCAAGCATTACCATGTTAGACTCTGAAAAGATCAGTAAGCACAGACCTTGTAAGGTATTTAAACATGAGAGAAATATTTTGATTATACAAAGTACAATCAAGCCTACAGTGCCTTCCAAATTATCTGCCATCATTTAAAATGCTTTCTGTAAAGAACTGAGTCTGAATTTCTTAATTTAATACATTATAGATAACATGACACAAGTAAAATTCCTCTCAAATAATAGGTGTAAAAAGCCTTTTGGTGACAATGTGGTCCCCAGAATCAGGCTGCCTGCGTTAGAATCCCTGTTCTTCCACTTCCTGGCTGGGAGACTTTGGGCAACCTAATGACTCTCTGTGCCTCAGTTTCCTCATCTGTAGAATGGGGATGACAATATTACCCTTCCTCCTAGGGCTGTTAGAAAGATGGAATAGGATGATTAGTAAATGCTCGATAGTGTTTACTATTGTCATCACCCCGTTAGGGTCCAGATCCAGAAGCCTCAGATTCTGCTCCCAGTTCTGTGACTTGTCAGCTGTGTGATACTGGGCAGATCATTTAACTTCTCTGAGACTTAGCTTCCTCGTCTAGGAAATGGGGTGATAATCCCTGCATTGCCCACACTACAGGGGTGAGGTGAGGACTAGTTGCGTTGACGTTTTTGAGGGTGATTTGCAAATGGCAACAAGTTACATAAATGTAAAGCATAATTATGATTGCTGTTGTTGACAATAAGCCCTGTGCTCAAATGTGACGTTTGTTTAAAGATTTCAGTGATGATGTACTTTTGTTTTGCATTATTTTGGAACAGAGAGAAGGGCAAGGAATGGCTACAATTTCCCATGTACCGTCCAGGTAGGAGCTGAGTTTATTCATAGCTGGTACATTTAGTTCTGATTTTCCTTCCATTTAATTCTGTATTTGGAGCCTGTTGGTCAGAGTTGTCAGAAGGAGATCAAAGTACCAGGTGGTTATTTTACAGATGCTGTAATTGGGCTCTTGCCTTCATGAAATAAGTTGTTTCGGTTGGTCATGGTGCAGCCTAGCAGCCTGCCTCCTGCTTCTTTGTAGTGAAGAGAAAATGGGGTCCAAAGTGGTCATAATTTGGGGATGGGGGAATAAAGTGTTTGTTGTCGTCAAAAAAGTCCAGGAAATACTGAGCAGGGAAGTGGAAAAGCAACATGGAAAGCTGCCTTGGTCCTGTTCAGACACATGGTCCAGCCCCTTCTGGAACACTGCTTGATGCAACTCAGAGAGGCTCATGGGAAGGTCACTGACATGTTCAGGGTGCTAAGAGTAAAGAGTCTGTCGCAGCAAAGGGAGACGTTTAAAAAAAGAGGAGTCCTCTTTAGATTGGCAAAATGAGAGCTGGGAAGAGATGGGCTCCACGTGGAAGGGGAGGGCGAGCAGGGACTCCACCGACTGTGGATCCGTGGAGGAGGAGGCATGGCTTAGAGTGGACAAAGAGAAAGTTTGAGTTAACACAGGCACATCTAACTGGAATACCAGAGCAAGAGAGCATGAACAGGGGAAGAGGGGCAGAGGGAGAGGGAGAAGCAGACTCCCCGCTCACGGGGAGCTGGCCGCGGGGCTTGATCCCAGGATCACGAGCTGAGCCAGTCAGCCGTTTAACCAACTGAACCACCCAGGTGCCCCTAAGCTTACAGATGCTCTGTAATGGAATAGCAGAGAAAATGAGAATGTCTGAGGACCTTGCTCCAGCGGTTGAGGTCAAGGACAGCCCTATTCTTTCATAACATATCTTTTAGTGGACAGAATACTCTAGGGATGTACTAGGTATTTGTGACCTTGGCTAAGTCTCAGCTCCCTCATCTGTGGAATGGGGACCATAATAGCTCTACTCATGAGGCTACAAATAGGTATTTGTGACCTTGGCTAAGTCTCAGCTCCCTCATCTGTGGAATGGGGACCATAATAGCTCTACTCATGAGGCTACAAATGTTAGCTACTATCACTACCATTATCTCCATTATTCTTCTATTATAGAAATAGGCCTTCTGCAGAACACATCTTTAGAGACTAATTGAGCATGTGCCATTTGCCTTCTTGCAGTAATGATGGATAAATTGGAGACCAGAAGGATAAAAGGTTTTCTCTGAAGGAATAAATCCTGAGTACTCCATCTTCTCTATTAATTTGTACAAGCTCCTAGAGAACGCATGGCTAGTTTTTTTATTTTATTTTATTTTTTAAAGATTTATTTATTTATTTGAGGGGGAGGAGCAGAGGGATTGAGCAGACTCCTCACTGAGTGCACAGAGAGTCAGGGATTGATCCTGCAACCCTGAGATCGTGACCAGAGCCAAAACCAAGAGTCGGATGCTTAACTGCTTAACCGACTGAGCCACCCAGGCACCCTTAGTTGATTTTAATATAATGCAACTGTTGCTGACTGTTCTTTTGAAAATGGGTTTTGAGTTGTTTGTTTTGCATATGAGAAAATTTATCAGAAGATTCCAATATGCTGTCTCCCATCATTTCTTAAGATTTGCCCGTTGAGGGCGCCTGGGTGGCTCAGTTGGTTAAGCAACTGCCTTCGGCTCAGGTCATGATCTTGGAGTCCCGGGATCGAGTCCCACATCAGGCTCCCTGCTGAGCGGGGAGTCTGCTTCTCCCTCTGACCCTCCCCCCTCTCATGCTATCTCTATGTCATTCTCTCTCTCAAATAAATAAATAAAATCTTTAAAAAAAAAAAGATTTGCCCGTTGATAGATGTAAAATGTTTGTTATTTATGGACTCCCAATTAAGTCATCTGTGTAGAATTTCAGCACCACGGGCAGGTTGCGCTCTGTTGACATAACTGCAACAGCATTCTTTCTTGCTCTGCTTTTTAGCTATGTTTGTCAGACCATCCTAAAGGCCAGCTCTTCCTTAGCAGCCACCGAATTGATTAGCAGGATCAAAAGTAAAATACATGGCAACCTCACCCATGGAAACTTCACCAAAGGTCAACTGACGTTAATAGTAAAATCTGAACACGTTGCGGTGAAAAAACTAGGTAATTGGGGGGAGGGGTATTCCATACACATTCACTCCCCTTATTAGAGAGCTCATAATGCACGCACAGTCAGACATCCTGAGTTCTGGGGGGAGAGGAGTTGTCTTCATGTTCCTTTTCACATCCTCAGCGCTCACTTGCCCTGACAACATTTCCACCCGTAAGAGCTTATGAAAAACACAGAGGGGTTACCAGAGACCATGGACCAGCTCTGGATATCAGCAGTGGCCAATCCGTCAGCGGAGTGGGAGGACTGTCTCTCTTGCATAAATACCCAGAGGCCTGGGGAGCTTCCTCATTCCACACAATAACTGCCCAATAGATGCTTGCTAATTTATTGATTGATATAGCCAGGCTATTCATCTGGGAAAGTGATCTGGGAACAGTCCAGAATTTCTCTCAAGGGCATCTCTTTCCTTTAATGGTAAAGAGAAAGGCTATTGGACCACCACTCCATGTCCTTGCCATGGCTGCCAGTGGACTGCACTGAAAACATCGGGCTAAGCCAGATACCACGCGGAGGATTTAGAACACACAGTCCCTGGCAACGAACTGATCAGGTAGCAGAGGGCAGGCTGTGATTGCAAGCGACAGTGAAATGGGAGGCAGAGAAGTGTAGAAGCCACAGGCAGATCCCACTGTGCAAATGGCGCTCATGGCTGTCCTCAGAGGAAGCTGGGATTCTCCCGGCTCTCCGCTTCTCCCAGCCGCTCTGCCCACATGTGAAGGGAAGATTTCCGGAATCCGGGTCACAAACCCAGTGGGTGGTCAGTAGAAACCAGGAACTAATCACACACACTCAGCCCAGGTCACTTCTCCCTTAACGTGACCACACTTGGTGGCAAAACCTTGACCTTGGTACCACCAGCAGAGCAGAGCTCCCGTGTCTCATCCTGGCGATGGCAGATACACTGAGTTTACTAAAATCAAATCCACCCCAGAGTCCGTTAGGAAGGGAGGAACCATCCAGAAGGAGAAGTCAGCCTTTGGTTTCCTGTCACTGACAGTTGGGGGTACCTCAGAAGGAGGGCACTTGGCAGGTGAGGACTTCTGATTTTTTTGTGTATGGCTTGAACTTTTTTCAATGCAAATGTAACATTTTTTTAAAACCAAGACCAAAAAACAAAAACAAAACTGTCCTGTCAACTTGTGCTTTTAATGAAAATGATTAAGTGTGAGTTTTTCCCGGGAGGCTTATTAAAAAAAAAAAAAAAAAAAAAAAAAGCATTTCATGTATTTTCAGTGAAGCCTGATTTAAATGGCCTGGTAGAAAAAGTTTTTATTTGCTGGTGTTTACGTATAGGGTAATAATGATTACCATAATAACAAAATGGATTTTCATGACACTTGTAAGTGCCTTTTACCCCTTCAAATGCATACGTTTTCTCCACAGAGCCAGGAAGGTGCAAAGCCCAGGAAACAGTCTCTAAATACAAAGGGACCTGTAAGTGGCTCTTAACCAACCCTACTGAGACAGCCCAAGCTAGGTGCATAAAAAACAGGCATGGAAATGCTACTAGGATCTGGTACGTATTGGCCAAGTTCTAATTGTCGGTTCAGAGACTCAAAGATCCTCTTAATTGGGGCCATGCTTCCGTCATTTGACTGAGCAGCCCTCCCACCCCCATCCCCTCTACCCTGTCCTGCCTTCTTTCATCCTTCGGATCTACGTAAGCATGCACAGGCAACATAAGAGCATTCTAGAAAAATGTTCAAGAAGACAAAGGAGAAAAAGTCACCCATAATCCCACCACTGCTGCTTTTAGGTTGGCGTATTTTTCATCTTCTTGTTCCCTGTGTGCCTTTAAGTTTTATGTAGTTTTATGTCATGGTAATCACTGTCCTCATCTCAATAATGTGATTTACCTTTTCACTCAATAGTTGATCAAACATTTTCCATGTTTTATGTTCTTCTTCTTAATGACCATTTTGAAAAATTGCCTCAGAAGCTACCTCGTTGATGGGCCATAATAATTTACTAAATCACCCTTCTATTGTTGCCTTATCATTTTCCTTCTTTAAATCATCAGTCCCTCTTCTCTGACTCTCTGCTGTTAATGGTTTATGCCATTAACTTAAGGAGGCAGACCAGAAGGGCAGCAGGTTTTGTTTGACAGAGGCTTAAAAGCTCTCTGTTGGAAGGCAACATCTTGGACTGGGTCCTACTCTCTTTGTACATCTAATCAGTCAGCAAATCATGTTGGTTTTGTCATCACAATCAAAGCTCGTATGTACCCTTTCCTTTCCATCCCCACCACCACAACCCCAGTGCAGACCCTTACTATCATCCCTTGTCTACTATTAGAGCAGTCTCCTCGCCTTCCCCCATTCTGGTTCCACATTGCCTCGGGTATTAAGTCTAAACTCCCAAACACGGTGCTCAAGACCCACAGGCACCCTTTTTACCATGTCTGCCGGCCAAAAAGGGCCATTTGCTATTGTGGGCTCCAATGGGTGCCTCCCTGTGTCTAGTTCTCTGCCTGTGCTATTCGCCCTGCTTCGGGGTGGGGGTGGGGGGCTTTCTCCATCTCTGTCCTTTCAGCGTCCGGCTCGGCTCAAAAGTTGCAAATAAGTTCTCCGTGCTCGGTGGTTTGGTAGATTCAGTTTTGTTGGTACAGTTTTTCATCTCATGTCTTGCCTCATAGATGTAGTTACTTGTACAGACTCGAACCACCAAGTTACAACCAGCTCCTCCAGGGACCGGACCCCGCCTACTTGTCTGCGCCACCTCTCAGCAGTCCTGGGTGCTCAATCAATGTGCGAGCTCATTTGAAATGAACTGGATTGAATTGGATGAGGCATAGGGGAGGGTGGATGATGAAGGCCGATGAGCTACAAAGGGTACTATGCTCACTGCCTTCAGGAAATGATGTGCAGAGCTAGGGACCGCATTCTACCAGGAATTTCCTCTTAAAGTGGGGGTAAGAAGGGAAAGTGAGGGTAAGCAGCCATGTCCAGAGGGGCAACATCTCCGCCTCGACTCTCCCTCCGCTGAGCATTGCCAGGCTTCATCTCAGACTCTCGTGCCTTTTTACACCTCCTGCATGGGGACCCTACATTCCCTTGTTCCCCAAGAGCAAAGTATTCATCCACGGGGCTCTCACCTTTGCTATCTCAGCCCAGAGGCTGGGAGTGGGCAGAGGGGAGGCATGCCAGAGCCACACCGTGTTCCTTCTTTGTTTGCTCTAAGACTTTTCTGGCCTCATCCTCCAATAAGAAAGCTTTTTGTCCCTCCCTCCTCTCTTTTTCAGCTCAATCAGTATCCACACTGGCAAATCTCAGTGGGAAAAACCAAAGTTGAAACAATGCAAACTGCTTCAGGGACTTCCTGATAAGATCATGGATCTTGCCAACATTACTATCAGTGATGGTAAGACTGTTCTGTACACATTAATGACATAATGGAACCTCGGTTAGTTCGTCTGCTTGACCTGAGATGAGAGGGTACAGACAAGCCTCACGTAGGAAAATCTACCTTACAGTGATCCAATTTCGGAAACTAAGGAGTTAATGTTGGTAGAGGTGGGAGTGGGGCATGCTAAGTTGGGACCGTCAGTGTTTTTTATTTTATAATTTTTGGCTAATTATTATTTTTCATTTCATTTTATTTTTTAAAGATTTTATTGATTTATTTGAGAGAGAGAGAGAACGAGCAGGGCGAATGGCAGAGGGAGAGAGAGAAGCAGGCTCCCCACTGAGTGGGGAGCCTGACTCGGGGCTTGATCCCAGGACCCTGGGATCATGACCTAAGCTGAAGGCAGAGGCTTAACCCACTGGGCCACCCAGGTGTCCCATTATTTTTCATTTTAAAACAGTTTTAATGGGGGGGTGTCTGGGGGGGGGCAGTTAGTTAAAAGTCTGACTCTTGGTTTCGGCTCAGGTCATGATCTCAGGGTCATGAGATCAAGCCCAAGTCTGGCTCCACGCTCAGTGGGGAGTCTGCTTTAGATTCTCTCTCTGCCTCTCCCACTGCCCCTCCACCTGCTCGCTCCCTTTCAAATAATAAATAAATAAATATTTACAAAAACAGTTTTGGGGCGCCTCGGTGGTGCAGGCAGTTGAGCATCTGACTGTTGGTTTTGGCTCAAGTCATGATCTCAGGGTTGTGGGATCGAGCCCTGTGTCGGGCTCTGCGTTCAGCTTGGAGTCTGCTGGAGGTTCTCTCCCTCTCCCTCAGCCACTCTCCTACTCTCTCTCTCTCAAATAAATAAATAAATAAATAAATTTTAAAAATCTTAAAAAAAACCAAAACAGTTTTGGGGCACCTGGGTGGCTCAGTCGGTTAAGCGTCTGCCTTCAGCTCAGGTCATGATCCCGGGGTCCTGGGATCGAGCCCAGCATCGGGCTCCCTGCTCCACGGGAAGCCTGCTTCTCCCTCTCCCACTCCCCCTGCTTGTGTTCCCTCTCTCGCTGTGTCTCTCTCTGTCAAATAAATGAATAAAATCTTAAAAAAAAAACAAAAACCAGAACAGTTTTAATAGGTAATTCTTCACATAGTTCAATATTGCAAAAACAAAAAGGAAATACAGTGAAACATCTTCCCACTGCTCACCCCAGCCATTCAATAAATACCCACAGAGGTATTTCATGTATCTATGCGGAAATTTACATACACACACACCATACATATATATATACATATGCATATACATGTATAGTCTCCCTCCCTCTTAGTACACAAAGTGGAGCGTGCTATCCATGCTGCTCTGCACCTTGCTTTTTTCTTTTAACAACATATTGCAGAAATTATCCTTTTAGTATATGAAGAGCTTCCTCATGCTTTTTATCACTGCATTATATTATACTGCATGGACATGCCACAATTTATTTCTTTACCCTATTTCCTGTGGGTGGGCATTTAAGTTGTTAATAACATTTTATTTTTACAAAACTGCTGTAATGGATTCTGTACATATGTCATTTTGTGTAAGTGGGATATACTTGAAGCATAAATTCCTAAAAGTAGAATTGCCGGGTCAGTCATACTTTTGATGGTGTCAAAATGCTCTCTGTAATGCTTGCTGGCAATAGTTCATACTCCCACTTGCAAGGCAGGAAAGCACCTGTCTCGGGGTACCTCCATCAACACAGCACGCTATCAGACTTTTGGATCTTTGGTGATGTGATAAGCAGAAATTGATATCTCGTTGTGGTTTTAAAAAGTTTCTTATGAAGCTATTCACATATCATAACATTTTACCCATTTACTGGGTATAATTCCATGGTTTTTAGTATGTTCACTAGATTGTGCAACAGTCACCACTAATTCCAGAACATTTTGATCTCTCCAAAGAGAAGCCCCATACACATTAGCAGGCACTCTCATTCCCCCGCTCCCCGCAGCCCCTGGAAACCTCCAATCTACTTTCTTCTTTTAATTTTATTTTATTCTAGTAAGAACACTTAACATGCGATCCATCCTCTTGAAAAATTTTTAAAGTACAATGTTGTATGGCTGACCTCCAGAATTTATTCATCTTGCTTAACTGAAACTTTATGCCTGTTGATGAGCAACTCCCCGTTTCCCCTTCCCCAGCCCCCCCGCAAGCACCATTCCTCTCTGTGCTTTTGTGAGTTCCACTATGTTAGATTCCCCATATAAGTGAGATCATGCAGTATTTGTCTTTCTGTGTCTGGCTTATTTCACTTAGCATAATGTTCTCCAGGTTTATCCATGTTGTTGCAAATGGCAGGATTTCCTTTTTTTTTGAAAGTGAATAATATTCCAGTGTGTATGTATGTGTGTGACGTTTTCTTTATCTCTAGATGGACACTTAACGTTATTTCCGTATCTTGACTATTGTGAATAATGTAATGAACTTGTGCGTGCAGATATCTCTTTGAGATAGTGATTTTAGTTCCTTTGGATATACATACACAAGTGAGATTGCTGGATCATACAGTAGTTCTATTTTTAATTTGTCTTCCACAATGGCTGCACCAATTTACATTCCCACCCACAGTGTACCAGGGTACCATTTTCTCCACACCCTTGACAACACTTTGTTACCTCTTGATTTCTGATAATAGCCATCATGATTACTGGTGTTGAGTACCTTTTCATATATCTGTTGGTCTTTTTTATGTCTTCTGAGAAATGTCTATTTGAGTCCTTAGTTCATTTTTAAATCAGGTTACCTGTTTGTTCACTCTTGAGTAAGAAATTTTTTTTTTTTTTTTGAGTAAGAGAAATTCTTAAAAAAAATTTTTTTAAGTAGGCTCCATGCCCAATGTGGGGCTTGAACTCACGACCCAGAGATCGAGAGTTGTCTGCTATACTGACTGAGCCAGCCAGGTGCCCCATGAGTTATAAAAATTCTTTGTAGGGCGCCTGGGTGGCTCAGTTGGTTAAGCGACTGCCTTCGGCTCAGGTCATGATCCTGGAGTCCCGGCATCGAGTCCCGCATCGGGCTCCCTGCTCGGCAGGGAGTCTGCTTCTCCCTCTGACCTTCCTCCCTCTCATGCTCTCTGTCTCTCATTCTCTCTCTCTCAGATAAATAAATAAAATCTTTAAAAAAAAATTCTTTGTATATTTTGGAGATTAACTCCTTATCAAATATATGGTTTGCAAATATTTTCTCCCATTCAGTAAGTTGTCTTTTCACTCTGTTGATTGATTGATTATCTCCCTTGTTGTGAGAAACTTTTTATTTGATGGAGTCCCACTTGTTTATTTTTGTTTCTGTCACCTGGGCTTTTGGTGTTGTATCCATGAAATCGTTGCCAAGATCAATGTCATGAAGATTTTCCGTTATGTTCTCTTCTAAGAGTTTTTGATTTTCAGGTCTTGCATTTAAGTCTTGAATAATTTTGAGTTGAGTTTTGTGTAAGGTGTAACAGGAGGGCCAATTTCATTCTTTTGCATGTGAATTTTCAGTTTTCCCAACACCATTTATGGACGAGATTATCCTTTTTCCATTGTGTGTTCTTTGCACTGTTATTGAAGATCAGTTGATGGTATATGTGTGGATTTGTTTCTGGGCTCTCTATTCTGTTCCATTGCTTTTTTTTTTTTAAGATTTTATTTTTATCTAAGACAGAGAGAGAGCACAAGCAGAGAGAGAGGCAGGCAGAGGAAGAAGCAGTCCCCCCTATGTGGGACTCAATCCCAGGACCCTGGGATCATGACCTAAGCCGAAGGCAGCCGCTTAACAGACTGAGCCACCCAGGGTCCCTGTTTCATTGGTTTATAGGTCTGTCTTTATACCAGTACCATGCTGTTTTGATTACTGTAGCTTTGTATTATATTTTGATATCAAGATGTGTGATGTCTTTCTCAAGATTGATTTGGCTATTTGGTTTGTGTGTGTGTGTGTGTGTGTGTGTGTGGTTCCATATGAATTTTAGAATTGCTTTTTCTATTTCTGTAAAAGATACCATTAGCTAGACTAGTTCGGTAAACTCTGTTGTCCCTGCAGTGTACATCTTCTGATTCTTCTCCTTAGAAGATGCAGCCTTGGTCTTGTACCTATTCTCCCTGACTACCAGGGATGACTGTGGTTCTAGCTAGGTTCTCTCTGTTTCTTTCTCCCATCTCCCTGCTGAGCTTCTGGATGGTGTGCCTCTCTCCGTATGACACCCAGCTGTTAGCCTCCTAATTGCTAGCTGATGGCTCTGTTGTTTTTGACAAAACCCCGGGGCATAAATTGCTCCATAGTCTGATCCCATTATAGTCCATCCCCTTGGCAGGGGCAGAGTATTGCCAGTCTTTGAGGCTTTCTCCCACCCTTCTCTGTGAAAAAAATATCTGTCCTATGGGGCAAGAGCTTGGGAGATGGTGGGGCGGTGAATGTGTCCTCCACAAGGTGCTTCACCAGGGTTTCCCTATGGAGCAGGGGCTGTGTTTGAATTTGAGGGGAAGGGGGACCTGCTGCTGGCACTCAGACGCGAGCCAGAAATATGGGAACTTCCAAGGTTCACTGGCTCTCAAATCCATTCAGAATAGTTCTTCTACCCCAGTGACCTGGGGGAGATGGTAACTACCGCTCAGCTGCCTAGCCCAACAGAGCAATTTTTCCACAAGGCAGAGCTCTGGGAGATGGGTGCATTTCCTAGCCCAAATGCCATGGCCTCCCACTGTACTGACCAAGTGTCCATAGATTTTGTTGATTAAATGCATCTCAGTTGGTTGGAAGATCAACCCCCAGAGACTTTGAATGGTTGTCTTTGCTAATTTTGACCAGTGTAACAGAGGTTGCTCTTGGTGAACTTTTCCCCAACCCCTCCTTACAGTGCTATTCTTGAAGTCCTGCCCCTCCTTATCAGTGTTTTGAAAGCATGCCTAAGTTTCCCTCATCGACTCTCAGTCTATACATACCTTGTTAGGCGTAGTTCTACCACGTGAAGCCCCCACCCCACCATGATGACTAGTTGGAAACTGAGGCACAGGACAGCCAGAGAATTGCCTTGAGGCAATGAACTCCTCAGACTTGTCTTTCTTGCAGAAGATGGAAATTTGAGATCCTTGCCAAGGAATATCTAGAAGAATTAGAAAAGTAAGCATGGCTCTGATGGTTTCTAGGTCCAAAATCATGAGTCACTAGGGAGGGTTGCAGCTTGAAGCAAGCAGGCAGCGAGTCAGAGAGGTCTGTGTTTCATGCTGACCTCCCTCCTCTGAGCGACACATTTTTCTTAGACATGATAATAGAATTTTCTCCTTAGGAGAAAAAGTTAAACAACCATAACAATAAGGAAAGCATTGCACTGAGTTAGGATTTTTAGAAAATTAACTGTCAGAAGTTACTTTATTTAAAAACAAATCTGCAGAGGATGAGAACAGTTGCATGGTGGCTGTAATGTATATAACTGAAAATAAATTATCAAATTTATTAGCTTCGGAGAAAGGCTTCTCCTTGTAAGTCAGGAGCTTAATGAAAAATGAGTACAGTGTAAGGGAAAGAAAATGCATTCACTTTGAAACAATTTTTCTTTAGCCTTCAATCTTGCTGACAAGCATTAGATATCTTGGTTGGAGAAAAACTTGTCAGTTCCCCAGTTAAATGCTCATTTCATGTAACTCCTTAATATCGCAGAGTTCAAAAAGGTACCCTTATTTCAAAGGTCTGTGGGTTCTTTGCTTTGCCCTGTCTTTGTGACCTCCAAAATACTGAAGATGCATCACACTCTAATGAAGTTGGCTGAAACTTTTCACAAAGCTGTCTCCTGGGTGTGTCCATCTCGCTGCCTGGGCAAGATAGTGCATGGTGGAGAGAGAATGATGTAATTCCCAGGATGTCAGGGAGAAGGACTGCAAAGCACAGCTGTTCCAACCCCCAAACTGCAGAGAAAAGGGGCAAAGTAGAACGTGATATCAAAGAACACTAGCTTCGGCATCAAACAGGCCTGGATTAAAATCTGGGTTAGAATCTCCGTGTCACAATTTCTTAATCTGTATAAAGGGAATAATGTTAGTACCCGTCACACAGGGCTATCATGACCATTAAATTGGAGAATGTATGTATAATGCCTTGTGGTATCTTGTCTCCAAAATGCCCGCCATCGATTCATTCCCTCCTTGTCTATTAGAAGCTGAATCAGGGCTGCCTTGTGACTACCTAGCCCAGTAGAATTTGGCAGTGGTGAGGCTGTGCCAATCGTGGGACTAACTTTTAAGGGGACTGGAAATTTCTGCTTCCATTCTCTTGTATGCTCTCAGAACCCAGACAGCATGCTATAAGAAGCCTGGAAAATGTTTAACCACCAGCTCTGCCAAAAAAGGTAATTTTGTCGCACTTGTTGATTTCCTTGGTGTGATCCTCCCCTGATGGCTGAATACAAACTACAACATGCAATTACTGAACATGGAGTTGGTAAGAGATACACAGATACTGTAGATATAAATAATCGCCAAAGCATAGATTACTAAACTGTAGCAAACTCATTAGGAAGTGATGAGTCTTGGGTATCACCATTGTTTGTTTTTTTTAAGATTTTATTTATTTGACAGAGAGAGACACAGTGAGAGAGGGAACACAAGCAGGGGCAGAGGGAGAGGGAGAACAGGCTTCCCACGGAGCAGGGAGCCCGATGCGGGGCTCGATCCCAGGACCCTGAGACCATGACCTGAGCCGAAGGCAGACGTTTAACGACTGAGCCACCCAGGCACCCCCACCATTGTTTTTAATATAACTTATTTAATTAAAAGTTAATGTAATTTAATTTTTGATAATGGCTGTGTTTAATAACCAGCTCATAAAATTCCTGAAAATTTAACAATTCATTCTGACAAGTTGATACCAGCTGGCTCCAGTTATACCACTGGGAAAGGCCATGTGTCAGGAACAGCCTCAACTGACCCCCAGAGGACAAGAGCCCCAACTGACTGGTCCATGGGCATCAACTGCCAGCCGTGTGAGCGAGCCATCTCAGACTTCCAGCCCAGTCGAGTCTTCAGATGACTCCAGTCCCAGCTGCCATCTGAGCACAACTGCATGAGAGACCCTAAATCAGAATCGCTCAGCGGAAATTGGTCAACACACAGAACCATGAGGGATAATAATGAATTCTTGTTTGAAGTCGTTACGTTTGGGGGTAGTTTGTTATGCAGCTGTAGACAACACCAATACTGGCTCATAGAAATTGCTCAGTCAATAACAGATATGATTATTGTTTTGATGGCTGCAATTATTGGCAGATTAATTGAAACTATTTCAAGCAATGGGAGATCTATTTATTTTACAGTGAAGAAGGGAGGATTCCTTTTACTGCTTTGGCTCGAGGACTTAGAATTTTTACACAATGTGTGTAATTTGTCCTGAGTTTGACTTAAAAAACATATAACTCTAGATGAAAAGTCTACAGTTACTTTCCACAATATAGTTAGTCTCCCATTGGCCTATTGTTTACTTTCCTCCTGCGACAGCAGGGACTGCAGGAAGTAAAGTCACACCACCAACGCCCAAAGAATGACTCTAGGTAGGCAGCTCTGGCTATCCCATTTACAGCAAAGCCTGAAAATTTAATAAGAATGATAGATTGGTGAATGAGAGCACTATATTTTTCTTCCATCCCCTGTCTTATTGTTTTCTCAGTTTCTTTAACTGACCAGAAGATAGATGTAACAAGGACAAAATATTAATTTAGAAGTAATTACAACCTTGTTCAACCTCCCCCTTTCTTCTACCTCAATTCCTAGGTAGGCCATGGTTGGGCAGATTGAAGTAATGGTTAAGGGGGGGGAATTGAGAGAATTTCAGTTAAGATTGCTTAATTTACATTGACAAGGACAGAGAGCTGTTTGCAGAGAGAGAGAGGGAGAGAGAGAGAGAGAGGATGATGTTTATGGTAATTTATTTTGTTTTCTCAAACAGACTTGGTTATTTGTAATGTAACCCAGGTTAAGTTATGAATATAATCTCTCTCTGGACTTTTTCTCAATGGATTGTATTTCTCGATTATTGTCCGTTATATTTCAGTTACTGGACTTAAATGTGAGTGCTTTAAGCTAGGAGAGCACCACAAGGAACTTAGCTTTATATGGGTTATATTGAACTAAAATCTAATTTGTATTGTATTTGTTTAACAAATACTGGCATTATGGTTATGACCAACGGAGGTCTTTTGTTTTAGAGATGCATACTGAAGTATTTATAGATAAAATGGTACATCTGGGATTTGCTTTAAAATAATCTGGGGTTGGGGGAAAGTGGGTGAGAGTGTAGATAAAATAAGATTAGCTCTTCATTGACACTTGTTGAAGCTAGGTGATTCATGAGGTACATGGGGATTCATTATACTATTCTTTCTACTTTTGTGCATGTTTGAAAATTTCCATAATAAAAAGTGAAGAAAAAAGTGGGCGAGTTAATATCTATTGTTCTTACTCTCTCTAAAAAAAAAAATCTAAATGAAATTGCTCTTTATTATATGTGGTCCATATTTGCTTTTTTTCTGTGATTGCTGGTTCTTGACAGAAAAATATCATCACCACCCTTGATTATGAAAACACAGACTGAGTGTTTGCTGATATTTTAGTACAGGTGGGATCTACTTAACTCAATCCAATACTCAAAAGTCTTAACTTAATTAGAATCTAATTGCAAGATAATCTTCAGTGACAAAAAGGTTTCCCTGGTGTATTTTAAAAAGGATTTAATGAATAAAAACTTGGCTTATGTGCTATTTTCTGGGACTCCGCTTGTTGCAGAAATTGAGGTCCAGCCTTCTTTTTTATTGTAAATTTTGCTGCCTGGGTAGATATTTGCATTTGACTGCCTTTACTTTTTAAAGGGAAGGAAGCAGACCAGCATGGCCCCAAACTAAATAATGCAGGTTTTCCATTTCAATTTTCTTTCCCCAGAGAATGTGGATGATGTTGCAGAGCACGTTTTAAATTTAATAAATGCATCCCCCATTCTGGATGAAGAAGAAACAAAGATTATTGTTTCTAAAGCATCTGATATTTCCCAGTGTGATGAGATAAGTATGAATCTAACCCAGATTATATTACAAATAATCAATGCTGTTTTGGGAAAACAAAACAATTCAGCCTCTCATCTGCATGAAGTGAGAAATGAGTAAGTACTAATGCTTTGGTAAAATAAGTTATTTCATAAAACTTTATAGTATTTGTTATTCACTCCTTTGCATACAGTCCCAAATTGTCAAGGTCAGGTGGCTATGCATCGAAAGCTGAGTTAGTACAGTGCAATGGGGTCATCCCACACAAATCCCAATTGTGAAGGAATGCATTGCAAAATTCTAATTCAACATTAATCACAGCAGCATTTCAAGTAGATAGTTGCCCCAAACCAAACCTCCACTCTATTTTCCCCACCCTGGGTGCCCCCCCAATATCTATAAAATGCATCCGCCCAGTGCTCAAGCAAAAAGCTTAGGAATAATACTAGATACCTCCCTCTACCTCACAGCCAACCAGTAACCAAGTCTTGTAGGAGGCACCGGATGTGAGGTTTTTAATCCCTGAAATATTCCTCGAACCCATCTACTTGTGTTCATCCCCACCATCACCACCACCCTAGCCCCAGCCTCATACCTCTCCGCTGACCTTCTACAGTAACCTCCTAACTGGGATCCCCGCCTCTGCACTTGCTTCTCTATGGTCTTTCTTCTACATGGCAGCCAGAAAGATCTTTGCATGCACATATCAGATCATGTCATTCTCTTGCTTTTAAAACCCCTTGGTGGTTTTCTGGTACACGTAGAATAAAATCCAAATTTCTTGGCTTATGAGGCCATGCAGCATCTGGCTTTACATACAATAATGTCATTTAATCTTGAACCACCTTGCGAGAGGAATGCTAAGATTACCTCTGGCTTGCAGGTGAGTAAACAGAAGCTCGACCACGTTATTGTTAGACATTAGAGGAACTAAGACTTAAACCTGAGCCTGTCTGACTCCAAAGTCAGCACTCTGATTTACTAATCCCTTAAACAATATAAAGACAGTGATTAAAACTGAAGGAAAAGTCTTACATTGAGGAAATCTCGGAAGGAGAATGGGCCTTATATTCAAGTGGTAGGAATGCTCTTCTCTCCCCGTGGTTCCTTGCAGAATTCTGAGGACAATCGAGCGTGCTGGTCACAAGATGGAGTTTTCTGGGAGGACAGCAAATCTGACGGCAGACAGGCTGGCGTTGGCCGTTGTGCAGATGGACCACACATTTGAAGGCATGACCTTCGGCATTCGCTCCTATGAAGAAGGTGCAGACCTTGAGGTGAGTCCAGCTCGGGGAACTGAGAACAGATCAGGCAAGTCTTCATTCACTTACTCCTTGGGAGAGAGAGGGGATACTTCTTAAAGGTTTTAGTGTTCAGAGGACCTTATGAAAATACAAATATCCCAGTGAAAGATTCATATAGAAACCCCAGTAGCCTAACACCTTGGTTGGAATGGTGTCTGTGAGGTGAGCAATGATACCACCTTTGGCCCTGTGGCCCGAAATCATCTCACGTGTTACCTTATTATTAGCTAGCATTTCCGGATGTTGGGGCACTGAGCTACTGTCTGTACAGATAAGGAAATAGAGCAGTTGAGTAACTTGCTCAAGGACACAGAGCCTAATGGCAAAGCCAGTATTCAAACTTATGTCTGTCTGGCTTTAAAGTCTGGGCCTTTCCATCACACCACAATACCTCAGCCTTTGGCAGGCCACAGGCCGCCAACCCCTGCAGAAAACAATTTGGGAGGGCGCCATTTTTTTTTAATTTACTGTTTAAAAAAATTATAAAATTTCCATATGGGGAAATGCACAAATTCTAAGTATATATTTTCTGAATTCTAACAGATGTGTACATCTGTGTAACTCAACCCCCCATCAAGACATAGACTATTACTGTCACCCCTAAAATTCCCCTCCTGCCCCTTCCCAGTCAATCCCCACAACTACGACCTCCCCTGGCAACCACTGTTCTGATATTTTGCCACCATAGTTTTGCCTGTTCTAGAACTTTATATAAATGGAATCATAAAATATGTACTGTTTTATATAAGACTGCTTGCATGTAGCATTCTTTTGTTTCTATAGTTCATTCTTTTTTATTGCTGAATAATATTCCATTGTATGGATATACCAAAGATTGTGTGTCTAGTCTCCTATTGATGGACATTGGGATTGTTTCTGGTTTTTGGCTATTATGAACGATAAATACTGCATTGAACATTCATGTAAAAGTCTCTGTGTGGACATATGTTTTCATATATCTTGAGTAAATACCTAGGAAAGGGATTGCTGGCTCATAAGATGTAAGTTTAAATTTGTAAGAAGCTAACATGCTGTCTTCCAAAGTGGATCATGGAGTGATTTTTCATTGTCTTTTTAAATCAAAGTACAGGGTGCCTGGGTGGCTCAGTTGGTTAAGCATCTGCCTTCAGCTCAGGTCATGATCCCAGGGTCCTGGGATCAAGTTCTGCATCAGGCTCCCTGCTCAACGGGGAGCCTGCTTCTTCCTCTCCCTCTGCCACTCCCCCTGCTTGTGCTCTCTCTCTGACAAGTAAATAAATAAAATCTTAAAAAAATAAAAGTATAGTTGACACACAATACTACATTAGTTTGATTTTTCATTTTTTAAAAGATTTTATTTATTTATTTGACAGAGAGAGACACAGTGAGAGAGGGAACACAAGCAGGGGGAGTGGGAGAGGGAGAAGCAGGCTTCCTGCTGAGCAGGGAGTCCGATTCGGGGCTGGATCCCAGGACCCTGGGATCATGACCTGAACTGAAGTCAGACGCTTAACGACTGAGCCACCCAGGGGCCCCTCATTTTTGTATTGACCATTTGGGAATCTTCTTTGGTGATGCATCTGTTAAAATCTTTTGCCCACTTTTAAATTGGGTTGTTTGTTTTCTTATTAAGTTGTATTTTTTATGTATCCTGGATACAAGGCATTTATCAGATATATGTTTTGAAAATATTTTCTCTGCGGCTTGCCTATTCATTTCCTCAGTGGTGTCTTTTTCTTTCTTTAGAGAGAGAGAGAGAGAGAGTGGGTGGGGGGCAGGCAAAGGGAGAGGGAGAGAATCTCAAGCAGACTCTGTGCTGCGTGTGGAGCCCAATGTGGGGCTCAACCTCACTACCCTGTGATCATGACCTGAAATGAAATCAAGAGTTGGATGCTTAACCGACTGAGCCACCCAGGTGCCCCCTCAGTGGTGTCTACTGATGAGCATAAGTTTTACCTTTGATGAGGTATAATTTATCAGTTCTTTCTTTTATGAACAACCTGTGACTTGTCTAAGAAATCTTTGCCTACCAGTAGGTCATGAAGATACTCTATGCTTTCCTTTCAAAGATCGATGGTTTTAGCTTTAATGGGTAGGACTATAAACCTAATTGAATTAAATTTTGTGCATGGTGTGAGGAAGTATGGTGTAGCATATGGTTTGGAGTTCATTTTGTTCTATCTAGATACTCACTTACTCCAGCACCATTTATTGAGACTTTTCTTTCCCTCTTGGCTTGCTTTGGCATCTTGGACCAAAAATCAGTCATGCAAATGGAGGTCTAGTTCTGAACTTTCTATTCTGTTCCATTAATTTTCTTATAGATGTGTATGCCATGATCACACTGTCTTGATTCCTCCAGTCTTGAAGTCAGGTAGTGTGAGTCCTTCAACTTTGTTCTTTTTCAAGATAGCTTTGGTTATTCTAGGCCTTTCCCGTGTCCATAGGAATTTTCAAACATGCTTATCAATTTGTACAAAAAAGAAATGTGTTGAAAGTGATTGGGATTGAGTTGAAGCTATTGATTAATTTTGGGAGAACTGATTTCTTAGTAATATTAAGTCTTCTCATCCAGGAACATTTACTCAGGTCGACTTTAATTTCCCTTAGCAATGTTTTGTACTTTATTTATTTATTTATTTATTTATTTATTTATTTATTTATTTATTATTTTAAGTTTTTATTTTCATTCAGTTAACATACGGTGTTATATTAGTTTCAGGTGTACAATATAGTGATTCAACACTTCCATACATCACCCTGTGCTCATCACAAGTGTACTTACTCCTAGGTGATAAATAGAGATAGACATAGACTATCAACTTTATTTTTATATACTTGCAGCAAATCATTGGAAAATTTAATTTAAAAAATTCCATTTGCAACATCAGAAAACATAAAATATTTAGGAATAAATTTATTTACTTACACCCAGCATGGAGCCAAATATGGGGCTTGAATTCATCACAGTGAAATCGAGACCTGAGCCGAGATCAAGCGTTGGACTCTTAACTGACTGAACCACCCAGGTGTCCCTTTGTTTTGTAGTTTTAAGCAGAGTAGTATCACATGTCTTTTTGTTTTGTTTTGTTTTTTAAAAGATTTTATTTATTTATTTGAGAGTGAGACAGAGAGAGCATAAGCAGGAGGAGAGGCAGAGGGAGAGGGAGAAGCAGACTCCCCGCTGAGCTGGGAGCCCGATGCGGGGCTCGATCCCAGGACCCTGGGATCATGACCTGAGTCGAAGGCAGACACTTAACCATCTGAGCCACCCAGGCGCCCCTCCCATGTCTTTTGTTAAATATAAAAATAAATTTGATATTCTATGTCTATCTCTAGCTATCTCTATCTATCATCTCTCTATCTCTCTATCTCTCTATCTATCATCATCATCTAATTTTGAATCCTATGAATTTGCTAAACTCACCTGTTAGTTGTAGCGGTTATTTTAGAGATTCCTTAAGACATTCTATGTAATGTCATCTGGCAACAGAGACAGTTTAATGTCTTTCTTATTGTTTTTTATTCCTTTTATTCCTTTCTTTTGGCCTTTTTGCTATTAGTGCCTCCAATAAAATTCTGAATTGAAGTAGTTAAACTGACATCCTTGTCTTGTTCTTGATATCAGAAGAAAAGTAGTCACAATTTTACCATTACTGTGATGTTAGCCATGGTTTTTTGTTGTTGTTGTTTTGTTTTTAGATGCCCTTTATTTGATTGAGAAAATTATTTTCTCTTTCTGGTTTGCTGAGAAATTTTATTGTGAGTGGTTGCTGAATTTTGTCAATTTTTTTTTTTCTGTATCTCTTGAAGCAATCACTTGGCTTCTCCCTTTTATCCTTCTAATCCAGTGAATTACATTGATTTTAGGATGTTAAACCAATCTTGCGTCTTTGGAAGAGAACCTACTGGTAATGATGTATTTTATATATATATATACTATATTATATACTATATATAATGATGTTTATATACTGCTATTTTCAACTTGCTTATATTTTAAGTATTTTTACACTAATGTTCATGAAGGATGTTGGTCTGGAATTTTTTTCTAATTTTTTTTTTATCAGGCTTTAGATTAGGGTCATGCCAACTTCATAAAAGTGAGTTGGGAAATGGTCCCTGTTCTACTTTCGGAAAGCGTTTGTGTGACATTGGTGTTATTCCTTCATCAAATGCTTGATAAGGTTCACTAGGAAACTCTCTGGGTCTGGAATTTCTTTGTGGGAAGTATTTTAATAGCAAACCTAATTAATTTAATGGATGTAGAGCCATTCGATGTTCTGATTCATCTTGTGTCTGTTTTGGTTAGTCATATTTTTCTAAGAATTTATTTCATCTAACTTGTCAAGCTTATTGATGGTAGTTCATAATATTTTGTAATGACTTCTTAATGTCTGTAGGATTTATAGGGGTGGTCAGCAAACTTTTTCTGTAAAAGGTAATAAATATTTCAGGCTTTGTAAGTCACAGGTGGTCTCTGTCTGATGAACATTTTTTTTTCTTTCTCTCTTTCCCTCCCTCCCTCCCTCCCCCTCCCTCTCTCCCTTCCTTCTTTCCTTCCGTCCTTTGTCACATTCTTTAAAAAATGAAATGTAAAAGCCATTCTTAGCTTGAGACATATGAAAACAAGCCTTGGGTAGGATTTGGCCTGCTGACCAATTTATCAATCTCTGATCTACAGTAAAAAATCTCTCTTTAATCTTGATAATGTTTTTTTTTTTTTAGATTTTATTTACTTACTTGTGTGAGAGAGAGAGCACACAAGCAGGGAGAGCAGCAGACAGAGGGAGAAGCAGACTTCCCGCTGAACAGGGAGCCCAATGTGGGACTCGATCCCAGGACCCTGGAATCATGACCTGAGCCAAGGCAGATGCTTAACCGTCTGAGCCACCCAGGAGTCCCAAATTCTTGATAACGTTAATTTCTTTTCTTGTTCTTTTTTTTCTCTTGATCAGTAAAACTAGAGATTTTTCAATTTTGTTGATCCTTTTTAAGAACCAACTTCATTAATTTTCTTTATCGTTTGTTTTCTATTTTGTTACCATCTGCTCTTAGCTTTATTATTTCCCTCTGTGTACTTACTTTGTGCTTATTTTGCTCTTCTTTATCTAGTTGCTTTTTTTAAGATGTTATTTATTTATTTGACATAGCGAGAGAGCACAAGCAGGGGGAGGGGCAGAGGGAAAGGGAGAAGCAGACTCCCACCAAGCAGGGAGCCTGATGCGGGGTTCCATCCCAGGACCCTGGGATCATGACCTGAGCCAAAGGCAGACGTCCAACCGAGCCACCCAGGCACCCACTTTATCTAGTTTCTTAAGGTAGATCCATAGGCCATTGATTTTAGACACTTCTTCTTTTCTAATATAATCATAAAAAACTATAAATCTCTCTCTAAGCACTGTTCAGCTGTGGTCTGCAAATTTTGATATGTTGTATTTTCTTTCTTTCTTTCTTTCTCTTTCTGTCTTTCAGAAAGAGAGAGAGAGAGCACGAGCAAGGGGAGGGGCAGAGGGAGAAGGAGAGAGAGAATCCCTCAAGCAGACTGAGTGGAGCCCAATCCAGGCTTGATCCCACTACTCAAGATCATGACCTAAGCTGAAACTAAGAGTTGGTCCCTCAACCGACTGAGCCACCCAGGCACCCTGATATGTTGTATTTTCATGAGCAGTCAGTTCAGAATATTTCCTACTTTCTTCTTTGATCCGTGGATTATTCAGGAGTGTGTTCTTTAAGTCCCAAATATTTGAGGAACATCCAAGACATATTGTTGTTGTTGATTTCTTATTTATTTCACATGGATCACAGAATGGACTCAGAATAATTTCAATCCATTTAAATTTGTTGAGACTTGTTTTATGACCCAGTGTGTGATCTATTCTGATGTTTCATACACTTGTAACACTTGGTGTGTTCTGCAGTTGTTGGTTATGTTGTCCTACAAATACCAGTTAGATCTCAAAGTGGTTGATAATGTTGCTCAAATCATCTAAGTCTTTACTAAAGATTTTTTTCTAGGTTTCCTAGTTTAGAGAGGTGTTAAAATCTCTGACTTTGATCGTGAAATTGCCTATTTCTCTCTTGTGTCAAATTTTGCTTTGTTTATTTTGGGGCTCTGCTATAAGGTGAATATACATGTTGTTATGTCTTCCTCATAGTAACTCTAATACTAACCTATTTATCATTATGAAATAGTTCTCTTGATTTCTGGTAATACTCTTTGTCTTGCAGTCCATTTTATGTGATTTTAATATAGTCATTGCAGCTTTCTCATGTTTACTGTTGTATATATGTTTTTGCATGCACTTACTTCCTATCTATTTCTTCATACTTAAAGTGCACTTCTTGTAGATAGCATACAGTTTGTGTTTCACTTTTTTATCCATCCTGAAAATATCTGCCTTTGAATTGAAGTGTATAATTCTTTGAACATTTAATGTATTTTTTGATCTGGTTGGATTTAAGACTACCATTTTATTTTATTTTCTACCTGTCCTTCTGGTTTTTGTTCCTCTTTTCCTGATGCCTTTTGGTTTATTTTAATATTTATTACAATTGAGCTTGAATGTTTTACCGACTATTTAGTTGTATCTATTTGCATTATTTTCTTGATGGTTGCTCTAGAGATTACAATATGCATCCTTATATTTTTGTAGGTTGCTCTAGAGATTACAATATGCATCCTTATATTTTTGTAGTCTGCTTTGAGGCAACATTGTACCAATTCATGTAAAACACACAAACTTTGACCATACATATCCATTTACACCCTCTGTATTTTATGTTATAGTTGTCATATATATTATGTCTAAGATCAGAAACCCCACAAGACAATGTTCTCGTCCTTGTTTTAAAGAGTTTTATGAAATTGAAAGAAAAAAATAGTCTTTTATATTTATATAGATATTTATAATTTTCAATGCTCTTCCTTCTTACCTAAAGGTCAGAGTTCCATCTGATATTTCCCTTCTTCTTTTTTTATTTATTATGTTATGTTAATCACCATACATTACATCATTAGTTTTTGATGCAGTGTTCCATGATTCATTGTTTGCGTATAACACCCAGTGCTCCATGCAGAACGTGCCCAATCACCAGGCTAACCCATCCCCCCACCCCCCTCCTCTCTAGAACCCTCAGTTTGTTTCTCAGAGTCCATAGTCTCTCATGGTTCGTCTCCCCCTCCGATTTCCCCCCTTCATTCTTCCCTTCCTGCTATCTTCTTTTTTTCTTAACATATATTGTATTATTTGTTTCAGAGGTACAGATAGGTCATTCGACAGTCTTGCACAATTCACAGTGCTCACCATAGCACATACCCTCCCCAGTGTCTATTACCCAGTCACCCCCTCCCTCCCACCCCACCCCCCACTCCAGCCACCCTCAGTTTGTTTCCTGAGATTAAGAATTCCTCATATCAGTGAGGTCATATGATACATGTCTTTCTCTGATTGACTTATTTCGCTTAGCATAATACCCTCCAGTTCCATCCACGTCATTGCAAATGGCAAGATTTCATTCCTTTTGATGGCTGCATAATATTCCATTGTCTCTATATACCACATCTTCTTTATCCATTCATCTGTCGATGGACATCTTGACTCTTTCCATAGTTTGGCTATTGTGGACGTTGCTGCTATAAACATTGGGGTGCATGTGCCCCTTCGGATCCCTACATTTGTATCTTTGGGGTAAATACCCAGTAGTGCAATTGCTGGGTTGTAGGGTAGCTCTATTTTCAACTTTTTGAGGAACCTCCACACTGTTTTCCAGAGTGGCTGCACCAGCTTGCATTCCCACCAACGGTATAGGAGGGTTCCCCTTTCTCCGCATCCCCGCCAACATCTGTCATTTCCTGACCTGTTAATTTTAGCCATTCTGACTGGTGTGAGGTGAAGAAACTTACTTAGCATTTCTCATAGTACAGGTCTGATGGTGATGAATTTTTATATATCTGAGAATGTCTTTATTTTGTCTTTATTCTCCTTTTTATAATATTTATATTTTAGAGAGAGAGGGCACAAGCAGGGGGAGGGCCAGAGGGGGAGGGAGATACAGATTACCCACTGAGTGTGGAAGCCAATGTGATGTGGGGCTGGATCCCACAACCCTGAAATCATGACCTGAGCTGAAATCAAGAACCAGATGCTTAACTGACTGAGCCACCCAGGCGCCCCTCTCTGATTGTTTTCAGTGTTTTCTTTGTTTCTTTGCCGTTTGGTATTATGTGTGTAGTTGTGTTTTCTCTGCATTTATCCTATTTGAAGTTTGCTGAGATTCCTGAATCTGTAAATATACGTCTTTTATCAAATTTGGGGAAATTTCCATCATTATTTCTTTAAATATTGCTTCTTCACCTTTCTTTCTCTCCTCTCCTTTTGGGACCCCAATTACATGTATGTAAGATTTTTGGATGTTGCCCCACACGTCCCTGGGGTTATGTTAATGTTTTTAATCATTTTACTATTTCTTTTCTTTTTTTTTTTTTTTAAGATTTTATTTATTTGACAGAGAGAGACAGCGAGAGAGGGAACACAAGCAGGGGGAGTGGGAGAGGGAGAAGCAGGCTTCTTGCCGAGCAGGGAGCCTGACGCGGGGCTCGATCCCAGGACCCTGAGATCATGACCTGAGCCGAAGTCAGACGCTTAATGACTGAGCCACCCAGGCGCCCCATGAGCCACCCATGTGTCCCCATATGGAGTTTTCTATTATAGACTCTGGGGGAGAAGCAAGTCAACCAGCCCCAATCACATTCTTGGTACCAAACTGCTTACATGTTAAAGCTAGATCAGAACTTCTCTGGGCCACCCAGATGGCTCAGTTGGTTAAGCATCTGCCTTCGGCTCAGGTCATGATCCCGGGGTCCTGGGATTGAGCCCCACATCAGGCTCCCTGCTCAGCTGAGAGCCTGCTTCTCCCTCTGCCTCTGCCCCTCCCCCTGCTTGTGCATGCTCTCTCTCTCTCTGAGAAATAAATAAAATCTTAAAAAAAAATCAGAACTTCTGCATGGTACTTCATTGCCTTAGCAGAGTTTATTCATGCTGGCAGAAGAGTCGTGACTTTGGGGTTCACAAATAATTTTTGAAAATATTATAAACTCTCATCTCCCTTACCTCTACAGCTAGCTAGATAATAGTTCCTTGACAGGCCACATGGATAATGGAGAAAATGGAGGCCCAAATTGCACGTATCTTTGTTCAACTACAACCCAGCTGTGTGACCCTAGACAAGTCACTTAACCTCTCTGAGCTGCCATTTCCTGATATCATCATACAACATACATTTCAGAGCCGATAGAAGGACATGTAAGGGTGCTCATATACCCTGTTTTGCCTGGAAGAGTCCTGGGTTTACTGGTAAAGTCCCCTGTCATTCTCAAAAATGTTCTAATACTTATAAAGTACTATTACCCATCAAATCAGCAAATTTTCCTACTAGTGAGCCTCTAGCAGAATTCCTAAGGCCTTATTGCCTCGCTTCCCTGCCTTACTTATGGGGCAATGCCTAATGCTACTGTATTGATTTTTTGTTCCTTTTTTTTTTTTTCCTCTCAGAACTATATGGGTGAAGAGGGGTCTACTTTCAAAGACTGGTCTTTATTTCCAAGAATCAGGGCAAATCGCCTGATTCATCATTCCCCTTTCCACCTCTATGCATACCCAGGTGCAAGTAGGCCAGAGATAAATTTGGGAAGAAAAAGGTGTGTGTGTGTGTGTGTACGTGTGTGTGTGTGTGTGTGTGCAGTTCTCACCCCTCCGACCTTATAACAGGATGCTCTGGAGATTGCAGCTGGTGCTGGGGTGGGAAAGGGGTATTCAGGCTCATGGGAGACGATTGCAGTTTCCATTTCCCACCTTGTCTTGGCAGATTTACCTGGATGAGGTCCCTCTGGGAAGGAATTTGGCTTCCGTATACTTGCCTAAATCACTGAGGGAGAGAATTCTTCCTAGCAACTTACAGACCATCTTGTTTAATTTTTTTGGCCAAACTTCGCTCTTTAAGGTAAATTCTTGCCTCTGGAAACTGTCATGAGCTGACATATGGTGACTCATTGTAATTATGAGCTCTTGCTATTTTCATGATGTTCTGTTTATTTTAGAATATGCTCTCTGATTTATTCTGCAAGTCTCCTGGCACAACCCCGGTCCTCAACATGAATCAACGTCTTCTTTAATGGTGTTCCTCGGTTTTTAATTTTCCCAGCTTCTCCGCTTTGCAAGGGACCTTAAGGATCATGTGGTGACCAAACAGAGGCCTCAAGATGTTTTAAAACCAAGAAAAGGACAGCGAGTCCTCCTGATGAGTGTAGTTTCAACTTGTTCGTGCTTTCCTCCCGCATCTCCCCAGGCTCCTCAAAGCCTCCACGCCCATTCTTTGGGCCAATTCATTTGAAGCTGAGCCGTGTCCAGTAGGACACTTGCCCTCGAGTATTTGTTGCTCCTTTCCACCGTTTCCACAGAACCTTCTCTGAGGGCTCCAGTCCTTACCCATTATTAAAACCAAGAGGCAGTATGATGTGGTGGTCATGGGCATGGATCTGGGGCCGGTCCGGCTGAATTTAAAGCCAGCTATCCCATAGTCTACCTGCGGGACCTTGGGCAGGTCCCCCAACCTCCACGGGCTTTGCTGGGCTGTTAAGGATTAAAGGAGTTGATACATATAAAGTGCTTAGAACACTGCCTAGCACGTCATAAACACCGGGTAACTCTTGGCGTTGCTATTATTATTTGCCTCTTTGGGGGCTCTGCCTAATAAAAGGGTCATTCGTTCGGCCCACTCCGTCTCATCTAGCTGTTGGGAAGACAGCCGTCAGAGCTATAGCATGAAATGATTGATGATCGCTATTAATTGCTCATGTTCACACTTTATTACCTCATTTGCTTACGAGAAACCTTGACTCAAAGAGTGCTATGGTCTGAATGTTTGTGTCCCCCAGAATTCATGCGTTGACATCCTAACCCCCAAGATGATGCTATTAGGAGATGAAGCCTTTGGGAGGGGATGAGGTCATGAGGGTGGAGCTGTCATAATGGGATGAGTGCCCTTGTGCAAGAGGTCCCAGAGAGCTTGCTTGACCCTTCCTCCATGTGAGGACGCAGCAAGAAGCTGCCATCTCTGAATCGGAAAGCAAGCCTTCACCAGAACCTGACCATGGAGGTACCCTGATCTTGGAATTCCAACCTCCAGAGCTGTGACAAAGAAGTTTCTGTTACTTAGAAGCCACTCAATCTGATATTTTGTTCTAACAGTTCGAACGGACTAAGACAAAGAGGCTAAGTGATTTTGCTCAAGGTCACACAGCTAAGAAGTGGCATAACTAGTAATCAAATCCAGGCTGTCTGACTCCAAACTTCAAGTATTTAAGAGATCCATACATTAACACCCCTGTGTATTTTCATTTTCTAGAGAGGCTATCCAAAGGAATGAATTTATAACTGTTAAATATTCAGAGTTATTGCAGGGAGATTGCACTGGGCCAACTTAAATATACTACATACCAACTCAAATATAACACATTGTCTCCAGTTATATCTGTAGGATGTTCTGTTCTCCTGGAATTCTCTAGCGGCTCCCCTTTCTGTCTTTGTACATTCTATTTATTCCTGTGGGTTCAGCTCAAATCCCATCCAGAAAGCCTGCGTGGAGTTCATGAGCCCCTGCTTTCCTCCCCACCCCCTGCTTGCATTCTTGTCTTCCATATCCACCTAGTCACTAGTCTGGTTTCCCTAAGTAGATTGTGGTGGATGTCGTGGGTCAAACATGTCTTATTTTCATGGCATCTGGCACAGGGCTAGGTACCCAACATGTTTTCAGTAGATACATATTTATTAAACCTTGGTTTTAAATGGAAAAAATAAAAAGCTGGCTACACCTGGGACAAGACAGTTAATGAACAAAAATTTTAATAAAAACGAAGAATGTTGTTCGTAGCACTCTGACCTTTTTGGTAAACTTGAAATTTCTCTGTTATCATCTGACATACCATTATTTTTGTCTTAATTTCTCTGCTTTCTTGAGAGGGCTGTGCTTGTTGCATAGAATAAACGAGAAACTTGTTTTGCATAAATTTCACACCTAATAAGTAATTTTTATTCACTAACATCTTCCACTGGAGGGGATTAAAGATCTTTGCCAAAATTAGCCTACGGACATCCTAGTGCCAGATAATGGATTAGAAGTAGCCTGCCATCACATTCAGAACTGGAAGGGCCCTTGTAATTCATAGTGGCCCATCTCATTTTACCGATGATGATATTGAGACTCAAAGAGGGGAAGGGACAATGTACTCTGTCAGTCACACAGTTATTATTCAACCAACAAATCTGTATCGAAATCCTGCTCTGTGTCTTGTGCGGTGCTGGGTGCTGGGGATACAACAGTGAGCAGCAGAGACATGGTGTGGGCCCTCCTGGAACTTCCGGTCTGAGGAGCAGAACAGAAACCGACAGATTCTAACTCTGAAGGGGATGACCTGAGCCTGGGTCCTGTGCCCCTGATTTTTGGGGAAGGGGTACTTATAAGAGATGCCACCCTCTAACTACCTTTTCCCCTAAGTCCCGAGTCTCACAGCCTCGCCTTCACACTGCTTTGTCTGATATCTTTTGATCAAAATCTTCACTGTCACCACAACAGTTTACCTTAAAAATGGTTGATAAGGGGAGGCTGGCTGGCTCGGTCAGGGTTGCAGGCGACCCTGGATCTCGGGGTTGTGAGTTCCAGCCCCATGCTGGGTGTAGAGATGACTTAAAAATAAAATCTTGAGGGGTGCTTGGGTGGCTCAGTGGTTAAACGTCTGCCTTCGGCTCAGGTCATGATCCCTGGGGCCCTGGGATCGAGGCCCGCATCAGGCTCCCTGCTCCGCGGGAAGCCTGCTTCTCCCTCTCCCACTCCCGCTGCTTGTGTTCCTGATCTCGCTATCTCTCTCTGTCAAATAAATAAATAAATAATCTGTAAACAAATAAAATCTTGAGAAAAAAGTTGTTGATAAGACGCCACTCTTGGAAAACACATACCCCCTCCTCCACGAGTGGCTGGCCTCCAGGAGAAGGACAAAACACTAGGCACAGGGGCTCTGGGGAGCATAGAGGAAAGATCAGGGAAATCAGGAAAGGCCTAGGGAGGTGTCGGCTGGAACCCGAGGTTGAGTAGAAGCTAGGAGATAAAAGGGGCAGGGAGAAGGATGGAGGAGTGCTTCCGGCCGAGGAAACTTCTCTAAAAGGTTCAGAGGTGAAACAGGTAAAACTTGAGCCTTGAGCCAAAGAGTGGAAGAGTGAGAAATGATTTAACGCCTTTTCCTGCATGGCCGCCATTTTGTATGAAAGGGAAATTAAACCAGAGGCCAGGTTAATTAAGTCCTGGGTTGTGTTTCCCTGTGTGTTTCCCCTCTTTTGGCATTTCCACTCCAGAAAACAGTATCTCTTAGACTAAGTTGAGAGGGTTGTTAGATGTCACCTGGTCCGCTTTTCTTCCTGTTACCAGTGTACCAGAGAGGGGAGGAGACTTGCAAGGAACAAGAGGGCTTGGGCTAGCACTTGGTCTTTGGATGGTCAGCCGGGGCCCTTGCCACCAGATTGTGCTGTAGATCCACCTCTGCATCAGGCTACCACAGGGGAATTCCTCTGGGAAGGGAGCGTGGAACCACCAGGCTGGCTTTGAACGAACAGAGTTGGTCAGGAACCAGAAGTGAGTAGCTTCCCAGTGGAGCCCCAGGCTGTGTTCACAGTTAGCCAGTTCTCAGTGGATTCAGGGCTCAGAAATAGGAGCGCTGGGCATCTTCTGAAAGTGGCCCAGCAGACTCTGTAAGGGGCATCATCTAAGCTCACCTCATCTAGGACTTCTTGGCAAGTCCTCAGAGGACTTTCTTCCCATCCCTCCTGCCCTGCACCTGCCTCATCTCTTGTCTCTTCAAGTGTGCCCCAGAATAGGCAGTCTCCCAGCTGCTTCGCCCCCTGGGGCCTTGGCCTGTGGCGCTTTGGCCCTGTGAATTAGCAAGCGCCACGTCCTAACGGCTACATTCTACTTGATCTCCTTGGAACCAACATTTCTGAAGCATCCCTGCCCCATCATGCACTAGCTGTGTGATCTTTGTCCAAGTCTTTGAGCCTCCCCAACCTTCCGTTTATCCAGAAAATGCCTATATTGTTTCATTGAGGACTAAAGATAGTGTATGTGGAAAGCACCTAACAATGTAACTGGCTCACTCTGGGTGCAAAACGAAATACTTGCTGTATGTTTGGCCATGCGGGGGACATGAGGCCACGTGACGCCTCTGCTCTGACCTCAGAGTTCATGGTCCCCTAGGGAGGAGACGACAGTCCTCAGAAACTTATTTCAACCTGGATGTTTATCCACCTGCTTCCAACTTCAGGGGAGATGAACCAGGGGGTGGCTTATAACTAACCCACGATGAATTTATGTTTCCTATGAGGAGGGGCCCCCTAAAAGTGAGTAAGGGTGGTTAGGGGTTGGAGCTAAGATAAGTTGTGAAATGTCAGGGTTCAGAGTTATCAAAGTAAGGAATGGTTTCGCTTTGTTGCTAGTGTCCTACTGAGTAGCAGGTAACAACAAAGCAGCAACAAAGCCAGTGCTTACTGGATACATATTTGGATGTAGGGCTCGGGTTAGTGACTTGTTCTAGCTTGGTAGAATCGAGACCTTATACGAAGACAGGAGATGAGCTAAATGACCTCTAAAAGCTTTTTCTCAGGGGCGCTTGGCCAGCTCAGTCAGAAGAGCATGCAATTTTTGATCTCGGGGTCGTGAGTTCGAGCCTCAAGTTGGGTGTAGAGTTCACTTAAAAAAGAAATAAAATCTTAAAAATAAATGAATAAATACAAATAAAAATTTCTTTTCAGCTGTGATTTTATTTTCCATATTTCTGTGCCTCCGGCCATGCATTAGTAATTCTGAACTGATTATTGACATGCAGAAAATTGGAAATTTAGGAGCTGAACTCCTCTGCCTTATGTTTCACCCGCAGACTGGAAGCGCCACGAAAGCACTAAGCACCTTCGTAGTGAGTGCCAGCCTTTCAGATACGCCCGTTGAAAACTTGGCTGAGCCAGTGGTTATCAATCTGCAGCATGTTGAAGGAAACCAGGTACTATACCCATTTTCATCTCAGAATAGGAAGGCCTCCGAACCCCTCCTTGGACTTCCTGTTAAAAATAATGGACTAGTGGGGCGCCTGGGTGGCTCAGTCAGTTAAGCATCTGCCTTTGGCTCAGGTCATGATCCCAGAGTCCTGGGATCGAGCCCCACATCAGGCTCCTACTCAGCAAAGAGCCTGCTTCTCCTTCTCGCTCTGCTTGTTCTTTCTCTCTCCCTCCCTCTCTCTCTCTGTCAAATAAATAAATAAAATCTTTTAAAAAAATGGGCTAGTTAACAGATGTGGTTCTAAGACTTAAAGAAGATTGTCCCATTTCGGACAGTAGAGGTGTGTTGTAGTTGAAGCCTTCTAGAAATAATGCCATCGCTTAAAGGGATAAGTAATGTGGGCTTCTAGCACTGTGACAGATTGGCAGAGGACTGACTAGGGCAGGTGGATCTTTTGGTTGTCCCATTACACTAAATGATATTTAATTCCATTTGTTTTTGAGTGAGGCAAACAATTTAAAATAATTGAACATTTTGATCCTTTTCAATTACCACAAAGAGCATTAAAATATGTATTAGTTATCACCAATGAATTAAAACCATAGTCATATGGCATAACATACGGTATATATTACTAAATGATCAAATTTAGCTGTAGCATAAGAATGAACTACTATTCCATTCTTTGATGTTAATGTATGTCCAGTGTGAAGTCTTAATAGCTTCTTTCATTCGCAATCTAAACGACCATATGGTATAGCATATTTTTCACAGGTCTTAATTCTAGGAAGGAAGAAAGAAGGGTGGGAGAGGGACGGAAGAAAAAACAGATACCAAATGAAACATGTTAGATGGGTAAGATCTCTCAATTCCAGCATGGGCCCCAGCTCTCCAAGCATCCCCCAACAACCAATTTCTCATTGCCTCCAGTTCCCTGGAGATTGTAGGAGCTGGTGAGGCCCCAGGAATGCTCCCTAGGCCTAATCAGCCAGCAGCTCAACTTTGTATCCATAAAGCTTGATCTCAGCTGTGAGCCCCAAATTCCAAAGTTCTGCAAGAAACACCTACCCCACATCAGATCTGCCCTGACCATTCAGCCTCCTCCTGGGCCTTGCACCAGAAGGGTGTAGCAAATCCCTATGTTACCAAATATTTGTGTGTGTGTGTATGTGTACACATTTAGTTTTATTGTAACAAAGCAACTCAGACACTTTTAACTTTTAAAACAGCATCATCTTGGGGCGCCTGGGTAGCTCAGTCAGTTAGGCATCTGACTTTGGCTCAGGTCATGATCTTGGGATCCTGAGATTGAGCCCCGTGTCAAGCTCCTCCCTCAGTGGGGAGTCAGCTTGGCCCTCTCCCTCTGCCCCTCCCCCTGTTCATGCTCTCTCTCTCAAGTAAATAAATAAAATCTTAAAAAAGAAAACTCTGAGCATCATTTTTCCTTTCCAGTGAAACAACAAAAATTTTTTTTTTAAGAATAAACAGGAGATGCACCATGAGAGACTATGGACTCTGAAAAACAAACTGAGGGTTCTAGAGGGGAGGGGGGTGGGGGCATGGGTTAGCCTGGTGATGGGTATTAAGGAGGGCACGTTCTGCATGGGGCACTGGGTGTTATATGCAAACAATGAATCATGGAACACTACATCAAAAACTTAAAAAAAAAAAAAAGAATAAAGAGGAACAAAGTTACAATAGAGAATGTCATTTCCAAATAAGATCCTACAGGTACTGCTAATTCTCCCATCCAGTGGCAGGGCTCAAGTCATCATTAGTAGAGAATCTTATTTTAAAAGTATCATCTTAAACTGCAAGGAATTCCATTAAACATCACAATTAAACATGCCAGAGGAGAAGCCATGTTATCAGAATGCCCACTTAACCCACCCAAACTTCTCAAACCTACCTTTTGCTGATCTTCTATAACCTCATTTTAAAATTTTATTTTATTTTTATTTTTTAAAGGTTTTATTTATTTACTTGAGAGAGAGAGTGCGGGAGAGAGAGAGTGAGAACATGAGCAGGGGGAGGGGCAGAAGGAGAAGTAGAGTCCCGGCTGAGCAGGGAGCTCGGATGTGGGGCTCAATCCCAGGACCCTGGGAGCATGGCCTGAGCTGAAGTCAGATGCTTAACTGACTGAGCCACCCAGGTACCCCATAACCCCATTAAAAAATTTTTTTTCTTTTTTTTAACCAAGAGAAAGTAGACTGATGCATGTTGGTCCATGCTAACTGTCCATACTCACATAGAGACACTGTAATCACATAGAGCCCAATATCCAGAAAAAGGAGGAAAAGGGGAACTCTAGGCATTACTGCACAGGGGCCCCGCACCCTCCAGCTTCCAGCAGACCTAGGGGAGCAGAAGGGTTTCCTTTTTTCCCACAGAGTATGGTGGTGTTGATTCCAGAAAGTTTGTGTTGATACAGGAGGGGATAAAAATGAATTTGGAACAGAAAGGGTAGAGATTCTTTCCCTGCTGTATTCTGCTTGAGGCATTTCCCCCCAAAATAAGTTGAGAACCATGGTATAGACAAAGAGAAAAGAGACTTGAAAAAACAGGGCGAATGAGCACAAGAGGAGGGGGAAAAAAAAGACTGCAACTTGCTGCCAAGGACTGGAGAAAATTTAAAAAGGAAGGTTGGAATCCATCGGCGTTCCATGACTCAGCTTCTCCTTCTTCCTCCTCATCTACCTCCCTTCATCCTCTTCTTCATCTCCTTCACCTTCATCCTCCACCTTCACCAATATCTTCCAATCCTCCATCTTCATCATCATCTTCTTCTTCTTCCCTTCCTTCATCATCCATATCGGGAGCCAAGTAGTGTGGTCATGGATTTGGCCAAATATCATCTTTGATGACCTCTGCTGGTTCATCCGCCCCTGCATCAGAATGGTCAGGAAACCAGGGGAAGAAGCTTTGGTTCCTCATGCTGTCTCTTCCTCCTGGCTCGATTCTGCATTGGACTTAAATGTTTCATCAAATCCTTTCTGGATTTCCATTTGATTTCAGTGGACTTGGAAGACGAATCACCATTCTCGGTCAGATGAAATTCTTTGGAGAGAACTTTATTTTCGAAGTAAAGGTTTTCATCAAAATAAAAATCTATCCTGTAACCTACCTGATTTAATATCGTCAAATTCTGTCACTTCAGCTCAGCATCTCTCCATCCTCCTCCCTGAGCAGTGCAAACACTTGTGAATGGTTGACAAGTGTTGTTACCCCTAAATTGGAGACTTCGGCTATCAATTCTGACCTCTTCTGAATAACACGGTTGGTGGAGTTTGTTATATTTCTGTTCTACTTTCAAGATCTCCACACTGGGTTGTTCATGAGTCTATTTCATTCTGTACTTCATCAGTGTGTTCAGTTGCTTCCTGCTGCTCTTTTTCTCCCTTCAGCAAGTGCTGAGAGGTCAACAGCTCCTCTGGCTTAGGGTCAAGAGGCAGACTCTTTTCTTCGTTTGAGGCAGGAGCGAAGACTGGCATTTGGGGGCCATGCTGTGAGGAAAGTCCATGGAACAAAGGCAGACGCACGTCTGGAAGAAGCTCTGATTACTCCTATGTGACCAAATATTTTATTTGTTTGTTTGTTTATTTTAAAGATTTTATTTATTTGAGAAAGAAAGCACACACGAGCATGGGGAGGGGCAGAGGGAGAGGGAGAGAAATAGACTCTCAACTGAGTGTGGAGCCTAATGTGGGGCTGGATCCCAGGACCCTGAGATCATGACCTGAGCCGAAACCAAGAGTCAGACGCTTAACCAACTAAGCCACCCAGATGTCCCTACCAAATATTTTAAAGGACACATACTAGACCACCATGCAGTAGTATGCTGTTTTCTCACTTATAAGCCCCAAGTCACTTGGGGTTAGTCTTAAAACCAACTTGCAGATGGTCCAAGTGTATGTGCGTGTGTGTGTGTCTACTGTTTGTAAAAACATTGAGAAGAAAACACTTGTGTGTAGTTGCCATTGTGTGGTAACTATCACATGGAAAGGTGTTTACCTCTGATTTTTCTTTTTTCTAGAATTATGATTGGGTTCACTGTGCCTTTTGGGACTTTGGGAGTAACAGTGAGTATTTTTCTTAGCAAGCTTTGTCTTCAGCTCTCAGTGAGCCTTTGCCCCTGACCATTTTCCTAGTTGGCGGTTGGATGAGAAGGAGCTGTACTGTCTTTACCAGATCCTACAGAGAACTCTGATGGACCAAGGTATGAACATGAGTTTTATATCTAGTTACGGCATGGGAGGTTAAAAAAAAAAAGCCTTTCTCTTTGATAAGGTGCTTATTTGGGGGATCAGAAAAGTCATACAACTTGGGAATAAGGGAATTTGGGAGACCCAGTGCAGAGTAGCCTTAAGCTGTTGGAAGCAAGTTGAGAAACGAACACCTGGCTGTTCATCTGTGTTTTCTCATGGGGATTTGCAACATCTACTATCTTCTTCCTTTTTTTCCTTGTCTCTTCTAGGCTGACTGTGTGACCTTGGGGAGTCCATTTACTCTCTTGGGGCCCCAATCTTTTTATCTTTTCATTGAGGGGATAAGACTTCTTGGTTGATCTCGAAGGGCCCTTCCTGCTTGGCTAGGTATGAGTCTTTGGGGACAGTAAAGAGAAGGGGTTTGGGACGGGGATCGCTGAATGGATTCCTCTTCAGTTTGCCTTCTCCATTGGAATCTCCGGGGATATGGCCAAATCTCAAAGTATTCCCACCCAGAATCCATTTTCCCTGGAATGCCAGGAGTGGCTACGTGCCCCTCTGCCTGGGAACTTTTCCCTTTTCAGTATCCTTGAAATTGTGGGAGAAAAAGGAAATTCTCCTCCCATGGGACTACCACTCCTTCCCTATGACAGAGATAGCACGTCCTTTCCTGGTCCTCTCCAAGTCTCCCAGGATAAGATTCCGGGAAAATGATGAGCCTTGTCACTGACACCTTTGCCCCCACCCTCTGTCCGTGGATCCAGAGCCTCTGGAATCTATGGAGTTATCCTGGATGGACAAATTTTGACATTTTGATAACCTCTCTGGTCTAGTGCTACCCTGGCGGTTCTATTCTACATCTGGTCTAGTATCTGAGGTCTACAGGTTACACAGAGGTATGGAGGTTGGTTTTAGAATCCTAAATAAACTCAAGAGTGAGAAACGAGGCAAGTGTCAAGTAAACCAGAGGCTTTAATTGGCCCTAAGGAGTGACAGACAGACCGCGATCTGGCTTGAGCTGGTCGTTTCAGATGTTTACTCCAGGGCCACCAAGCAGGACCAAATGTCAGCCTAGATTCCATAGCTCATGTCCTTCAGAAAGTTCTAGATCTACCTGTTTCCTATTTGTGCTACTTAAGAAAACAGTCCTAACTCTGTCCCTCCAGCATGGTGGCAGGACTCTGTTGATGATTAGGGTCTATCCTAATCTGTAGGAGTTCCTGTGCAGGAATAGGAAGTGAGAGCCCAAGAAGGTATGCCATGCACGAAGTCCCCCAAAAGTCAATTTTGCCTATTAGACTTCATTTGATTTCAATGTTCAACTATACCTCTATCTTGCTCTCTTAACAAAAAATACTAATTAGAACACACGCTTGGAAGGTGCATATAATGAAAAGTTAAACATTTCTGAGAAAAACAAAATTGCTTTGAAATTCCCTTCTGTCTCCTGCAGATGGGCAAGGTGGATGGAATTCATCAGGCTGTAAAGTAAAGGAAACGAACGTAAATCACACAATCTGTCAGTGTGACCACCTCACCCATTTTGGAGTCTTAATGGTGAGTTGTCTCAATCACTCCTTGATAGAGTTTGGACAACTTCTATTAGATTACAGACCAGAAATACCTGGGTGAACTGTGATGGAAAAGCGGCATGTGAGTGGAAAAAAAGCCCCTTCTTTGTTCATCCAAAGTAGAGCAGATTGAAATAAATATTTCTTTTTCTCCTTATAAAAGTAATGCCTGCTCCTCAAAATTCAAACATTACAGAAAAGGTCCCTATAATTCCCCTCCCAAGAGATCACTAACTTTAACACCTTGATGTAAATTCTTTCACATTTTCTTCCTATGTGTATATTAATATGTTTTTTTTTAAAGATTTTATTTATTTGACAGAGAGAGACACAGCGAGAGAGGGAACACAAGCAGGGGGAACGGGAGAGGGAGAAGCAGGCTTCCTGCCGAGTAGGGAGCCCGATGTGGGACTCGATCCCAGGACCCTGGGATCATGACCTGAGCCGAAGGCAGACGCTTAACGACTGAGCCACCCAGGCACCCCCATATATGTTTTTGTTTTATAAAAATGGGATCAAATTATTCACGCTGTTTACCACTTGCTTTGCACTAACAATACAATGGGGCACCTTTCAGGCAAATACATATCTATCTACTTCAATTTTCAAAATACCTTTATAGAATTCTCTTGTGTGGAGTAAACATGATGAATTTAACCAATCCCCTATATACAGGCATTTTAGTTTTACTGTTTACTATTTTTCTCCATTATGAACAATGCTGTAATACACATTTTTATTCATTTCTAACACTGGTGTAATTATTTCTGTAGGATAAATTGATGGAAGAAGAATTGCCGGGTCAAAGGGTATGGTCATTAAATTTTTTAATTGTCAGACTGCAGTGTAGGAAAGATATATTTTTTAAAATTCTTGCAGTACTTAAACAAACAAGACTCGTCAAGTCTCATATTCAGGCTTAGAGCTTCAGAGTCATCATTAGTTAATTCTTCCATCTCTTTAGTTCCCTATGGCCCTCCCTAACATGAGGACTTGCTGAGTTTTCCTTCAAAATAGCTCTCAAAGGGGCACCTGGTTGGCTCAGTCAGAAGAACACCTGACTCTTGAGCTCAGGGTTAGGAGTTCGAGCCCCACATTAGGCACAGAGTTTACCTAAAAAAAAAAAAGAAAGAAAATGGCTCTCAAATATGTTCCTTCTTCTTTACTCCTCTCTGAGTACTTTTTTAGTTCTCTTGAGTTACTTTATTATATATACTATATACTGTCATCTGAATGTGTTGTGCACAGGTTGTTTCTCCTACTCATGGTAAGCTTGGCACTGTTGATATTCTGAACCAGATAATTCTTTGTTGTGGGGGACTGTTCTGTGCATGGTAAGATGTTTAGCAGCATCCCTGACCTCTCTACCCGTTAGATGCCCGTTAGCCCCTTCTCCAGGCGTGACGACCAAAAACGTCTCCAGACGTTGCCAATGTCCCGGGGGGAGGGGCAGTATTGCTTCTAGTTGAGAACAACCAGGGTAGACAAGTGCTTCTTAGCCTTTTATGATTCGTGAATCTCTATAACTTGAGGAAAGCCTGGACCTTCTCTCCAGAACAATGCATGCATATAGGGAAATGATTTTGCATGCCATTTCAGGTCTTTTATGGTCTTTAGGTTAGAAAATTTTGAGATTATGTGATCTCTAAGGTCCATTTTGTCTCTCAATTTTATGAAAGTTATTTAAGGTCTAAGGGAAAGGAACATTTCTCTTTTTTTTATGTTCTGTGTAGTGTTTTGGGACGCTTAGTTCAAATAATGATTCACTTTGCATCCCAAATTCACATCTATTAGTTTGGTTATATTTTAAATGTGGAACATGTTAATGACAATAAAGTCAAGGACTAAATGTTCTCCCAGTGCTGTTGATGGCTCTCCATGACCTGTACACAGTAAGTTGCACTAAGCATATTCAACAAACAATATATAGTCTTATTGTATATTCATCCACATACTCTGGTTTTATAAGAGCTGTAGCAGAGACGCTATATATCCTGAGAACCTCCTATTGGTGAGCCCTGGAAGCATTTTACCATAAACTTGCTCTGGCAAACGTATAAAATACAACATATTGCATTTCCTAGGATTTATCCAGGTCTGCAATGGATGCAGTGAATGAATGGATATTAGTGCTGATAACATACATTGGATGTGGAATCTCCTCCATTTTCCTGGGAGTTGCAATAGTGATATACATAGCTTTTCAGTAAGTTGATAAAGTCTTGCTCTGAATAGGTTTAATTTGGCTTGATGGATGTTGTTGTCATTGTAACCACATTAATTCCATAAAATGTTCCTATTCATCACAATAGGAAGAGGTCAAATCCATTAGATTATGAAGTGGACAGATTAAAAAAAAAACAAACAGGCAAGGCTCTTCTAAAAAAAGAGAGAGAGAAAGAGAGAGAGAGATTGTAATTGGATTTTTAAAAAGAAAGAGGTTTGGGGTAGGGTAAGATTTCTCTAATGGGATATAAAACACTAACCATAAAAGAAAAAGTTGATAGATTGGACTTCATTGAAATTAAGAACTTCTTCCACCAAAAGACACAATCAAGGTAGTGAAAAGGCAAACCATAAATTGGGGGAAGATAGTTGCAATGCGTGTATCTGACAAAGGAGTTTAGAAAATTCTTTGACAATGCTACTAGAATAAATACATACCTAGCTGTTGACCCAGAAACTTCACTATTAGAGAGAAATGAGTGCATGTGTCCACTGAAAGGTATATACAAGAATATTCACAGCAGGGGCGCCTGGGTGGCTCAGTTGGTTAAGCAACTGCCTTCGGCTCAGGTCATGATCCTGGAGTCCCGGGATCGAGTCCCACATCGGGCTCCCTGCTCGACAGGAAGTCTGCTTCTCCCTCTGATCCTCCTCCCTCTCATGCTCTCTGTCTCCCATTCTCTCTCTCAGATAAATAAATAAATAAATAAATCTTAAAAAAAAAAAAAAAGAATGGACTACTTCTGTACAACACAGAACATAATATCTAAATCTCACAGGCATAGAGTTGAACAAAAAGGAAGCCAGAAAAATAGGAGAGCATACTGCATGGTGCCATTTATACGAAGTTCTAAGTACAGGCCTAACTAAGTCTATGGGGACAAAAGTTAGAATATTGGTTACTTCTACTGTGTGTTGGGTGGCGGGGGAAGGTTATTGAATAGGAGAAAGAATGAAGGAATCTTCTGAGATTTGAAAATATTCCCTCTAGAGAAGATATTTGCAAATGATGTATCTGATAAAAGGTTAGTATCCAAAATATATAAAAAACTGGGGCGCCTGGCCAGCTCAGTCACTGGAACATGCAACTGTTGATCTCAGGGTCATGAGTTTGAGCCCCATGTTGGGGATAGAGATTACTTAAAAAAAATTAATAAACTTTAAAAAAGTGTACAATTCAATAGTTTAAAAATATATACAAAAAAGTGATATAACTCAACACCCCAAAAAACCAATAATCCAATTAAAAATGGGCAGAAGACATGAACAGACATTTCTCTGAAGAAGACATCCAGGTGCCCAAAAGATACGTGAAAAGATGCTCGACATCACTCATCATCAGGGAACTGCAAATCAAAACTGCAATGAGATATCACCTCACACCTGTCAGTAGGGCTAAAATCAACAACACAAGAAACAACAAGTAGATCTAGCCCTGAGTCTGCTGAAGGAGTGATGACAGAATGTTGGTGTCCAGAAAACTCCTTCCTTCCTTCTCCCCAAAATACAAAAAGAAAAGGAAAAAGAAAAAAGGGTGCTGCTTAGCTCAGACTGGCTACTATTATTCCTGTTAGTGAAGGTCACTGTGTTTAGGATACTTTGACTCTACCTGGAAAAAGGGTGGGGAGCTCAGTACATGTAAGGTAAAATGAGCAAGTTAATTTTCTTAAAGCTGTTTTTTTTTTAAGATTTTATTTATTTATTTGTCAGAGAGAGAGAGAGCACAAGCAGGGGGAGCGGCAGGCAGAGGGAGAAGCAGACTCCCCGTGGAGGAGAGAGCCTGATGCAGGACTCGATCCCAGGACCCTGGGATCATGACCTGAGCTGAAGGCAGGCATGACCTGACCCAGGTGTCCCTGAGCAAGTTAATTTTAATAGGCACTTCTTTTCTTTGATTTTTTAAAAAGAGTTATTTATTTATTTTAAATAGGGAGAGAGTTGGGGGAGTTGGGGGAGTTGGGGGAGGGGCAGCAGGAGAATCTCAAGCAAACTCCCTGCTGCATGCAGAGCCCGATGCGGGGCTCGATCTCACGACCCCAAGATCATGACCTCAGCCGAAATCCACAGTTGGCTGCTTAACCTTAACGGACTGAGCCACCCAGGCGCCCCAAGCCTGTGTGTATTTCAAATTCCGGCTTCACGAGACACATTATTCAGGACCAAATTCTGTTATTATCAACAGTAAGGATGCTGCATACTTATTCAGCACTCACAATATCTCTATGAGAAAGATTTCATCATTATTCCCATTTAATGGTAAGGACACTGAGGCACAGAGAGATGAGGTAATTTGCTGCAATGTACACAGCTAGTATGTGGCAGAGCTGGGATTTGAACCAGAGATTTGGCTCCATAGTTTGGACATGCAACCTCTACGAGGTAGTCATATTGTTGAAGGGACAGGGAAAGGACTTGCGGTGTGTGGAGGGGTGCTGGGTCAGACCCGCCCTGAATTCCACCACACCTCATGGCGGTCATTGTCACTGCTGCCCGATGGAAGAAACCAGGAATGGAACCCAGCACAAAAATCTCCTAATTTAAATGTTATTTCATTGGGTTGTTGTCCTGTATTTCCGACACGGTCAGCGCAGCTCCTCCCCCCTCCCTTTGACTATTCAAAACACATTTTGAGTTCAGAGAATGTGTTGGAGACACAGGAGACGTGTATGAAGTGGGATGCAGAGGATCCATATGAGGCTAGCTTTTTATCTGCTGCCTTTGTAAAGACAATAGTTTCCCAATTAGGTCCTCATCCTTTTAATGAGTTCATTAACATAGCACATGCTTTCACTGGATACAGAGTCAGTGCTATTATCCATGCTAATGTGGGGAGCAGAGACAGGCAAATACTAAGCAGAGCATAAGCTAAGATTGTTTTAGTACACTTGGCAATCCATCAGAAACATGGAGCCCAAAGCAGTCAGTACACGCCCTCACCTTAAGTCAACCGGGAGATTGAAAAACATTGTGGAAGAGGCTTCATGAATAATCTCCAAAGCAGATAACCCACATATGGCTAACTGTAAAGGGGCTGGAAATCACGCTTGGTCTTGGCTTTCCTTCCCCCCTGTCATCTCTCATCCTCAGCTTCCTTCTCAGACCCCTCCTCCTTCACTCACTCCTTAAGTAACAGTGTTCCCCGGGGCTCTTCTTCTCTCTTGGATCTTCTCATTCCACACACACTTGCCGGGGTGCAAGGAGCGGCCGCGAAGGCTAAGACTTGGTACTTGGAGGTGGGATAAACCCAGGGAGTGTCAAAGACACACCCGAGCCAAGGCCAAGGCCTGACTGGCTTGACCTGTCCAGGTGCAACAAGCTGTTGCAGATTCGGCTAATTGCTTACATAGACGGCAAAGGGAAGAGTAGCTAAAGGCTCCAGCTCCCAAGTCCTCGTCCCACACACTATAAAAGAAAGACACCCAAAAAAAAAAAAAAAAAAAAAAAAAAGGGAACGGATAGCTGCCACACGAGTTGAGGGATTCCCTGTCGCTGAAGAGCTGGTTCTAAGTGGAGCTATGCACTTTTATACTCTGCAGCTCTGTGCTGAGGGGGCAGGGTGCAAAGCCCCACACCCCCCCGAACCTGGGAGGGACGAGAAACTGCCTCACGAAAGGCTCCTGGAGGAGATGGAGAGGCGAGTAGGGGATGGCCTCAGAGCCCCTCCTCACACGCCTGCGGGCTCCTCCAGCTCGGGCGGGCTCACGGGGCATTCTGCCCAAGCTCAGGTCAGCTGCTGGTCCAGCCTCTGCCTGCAAGGTCACCAGGGAGCCACCTCAGAGCTGTCCTGCTAAGGGGACTTTGGGAACATTTAAATATTAAACAAAAGCAATCAATGGCAAGGAAAACAAACATTAACATCCGTTTATGTTTGAAGTTCTGTCTTCCTAATGCCAAACCAACCTGTTGAAGAAGTTTTACTCCTGTACTTAAATCCCTGTCCAAGGCAGTAGATTGGTCCACATTTTTTTTTAATAATCAGTAGGGATTTTTTGGTTTATTAATTGATAATTTTTTAATTTGTTGATTACCAAAGGGTAAACACAGCTTGGGGACCGCCTCACAACTTCCACTGTAGATGGGAGGCCCCCTTCCATCTCTCCTTTCTGGCCTCCAACAGGTTAAAAAAAAACTTTTTAAATCGAAGTCTAGTTCACACTCAGTGTTACATTAGTTTCAGGTGTACAACATAGTGATTGGACAAGTCTATACCTTATGCCGTGCTCCCCACAAGGGTGTCTGCCCTCTGTCCCCATACAGCACTGTTACAACACCATTCTCGACGTTCCCTATGCTGTGCCTTTCAGCCCCGTGACTTCCTCATTCCATAACTGGAAGCCTGCACCTCCCACTCCCCTTCACCCATGTTGCCCTTCTCCCATCCTCTCCCCCCTGGCAACCGTTAGTTTGTTCTTATGTATTTATGGGACTGTCCTGGGTTTTTTTTTTTTTTCAACAGGTATTTTTGTAAATATCTACATCATGCTAGGCACTGTGCTAAGTGTGTGATATACAGATCAAACGGGACTGTCCTGTTTCTCACAGAACAGGACAGTGGAGGGTACTTTTCAAGATGCTTGGCACTCTGGGATTTAGAACAGCCTTGCAAAGCATCTTAGGAAACCCCTAAAACGTGTGCAGGTGTAATGCTCTTAGTTTAGGAGAAATACATCGTTAGAAATAAAGAAATCATTTAAGTTTTACAAATGTACATGAAATTGGATTTTTAAATCCTGTGTCTACACGCACATCACGTTTGACCACTTTGACTGAACTGATTGCTTTATTATAGTCTGGCTGAATTGACTGGTCGTTAACTGGTCGATCTAGTCAAAATGTCAAACTAGTAACGAGTGTGGAAACAGCCCCCCTGTCAGAAAGCACCGAAGGCTGCAGCTGATTGCCTGTGCCCTTCCTCCAAGGTGACCTAGACAAAAAGATCCTGGGAACTAAGGGGCTCTATTGAAAAGGAGAAAAAGATTGGCAGCCCATCATCTGGGAAGAAATGCTTGATGCGAACCTGTGTTCCGATGAACTAGATACTTCGATTGCCAAGTTGATTTTTTGGCACTTGAGCTATTTTTAATAACCAGTGGGTGTTGTATTGGAGTCTTTGGCATGCTGTTTAGTTTAGCAGATTGGAGCACTCCTAGAAATGTTTAACTTGGAAAAATTCACAAACATTTTGCAAACAATGGTATTTTGATGCCCGCACATCTGTGGCTCATTTAAAGTGTCTTGGTGGATCAGGGCCCACAGTCAATGATCAGGACTTCTCCCACTTCCTAATGGGATGCCTTTGGCTTGCTTCCCCCTCTAGGAATCCCAGCGATCATGGTGGCAATCACACTCAGCGTGAAAAAAGATCTGTATGGAACTCTGAGCTCAGCGACCCCATTGTAAGTACCAGCACCTCTGCTTCTCAGGTGGTGATGTTCTTGACCATCAGGGTCTGGGGGGTGGGGCGGGGTTCCTGACCTGCAGTCTGGTCTTGACGCTGGCTCAGGGGGGCACTCAGCCTCAGCCTTTTTTGGCCTAAACACAGTCACAGGCACACTCATATAATTAGGTGCCTGGGCTCTGTGTGACCTTGGGCAACTTACTTTACCTCTTCCTTCCGTTTCCTCCACTGGAAAATGGGGACAATAATGTTTGCTGTCAATATAGTGTGCAAATTAAAATGACGTCACGTATATAAAGTGCTCAGCATGTGGCCTGTTCCACACATTCTACCTAACAGGCAGCAATTGTGATTAGAAAGCTCACGGAACCCAGAAGGAGTTGTAGTGAGCCCTGTAAGGAAATACAGAGATGGTTGGAAGACATTTTCCACCATCAACAACGGTCTCCCCTGAAAGACTCCATTGCCTTCCTTTGTAAATTGGCTCAGCTTTGTTGTCCTGTTGTTTTCTTCTCTTCTTTTTCTGTTCTTTTTTAAAATTTTTATTTTATTTTTATTCGAGTACAGTTGACACACAATGTTACATTAGCTTCAGGTGCACAGCTTAGTGATTGGACAAGTTTATACATTATGCCGTGCTCACCATCTTTTGTTTTCTTCTTGATGTATAAATCCATCTCTGCGGTTCTCTCATCCACAGCCACAAAAGAGTCAGCATTTACCTCTCCAAAACCTTCTTTTATAGGCGCATAGCTAGTTACAATGTAGTCCTTTAGACAGCGTACTTTCCTTTCATGCTTCTGATTGTTTTTTACTTACCTAGATCCGTTCTCTTTATTGTTGCCTCTCAAGCTGGGTTGTTGTTGTTTTTTTTTTTTTTAGTACAGATTTCCTCTCCCACTGGACTGGAATCAAATGTAGGAGGTCTCGCCCCCCAGACTCAGCCATCTTTTGTGTTCAGATGACAGTTTCTAGAGGGTCAAAATTATATTGTCCTTTCCAGCAGGTGCCTTCTAATTATATAACTTCTTGTTATCCTTTCTTTCTCTCCCTTTTCTCTTCCCTTCCTTCTCATCTCTCCCTCTGTCCTTGCTCCTCGCCTGTTCTGTGGCTTAAAGGGCCCCCAGTGTCTATCTATTGGTGATTCTTCTTCAAAGATCAAAAGCAAAAGCAAAACCAGAACAAAACCAACTCCACTCCTCCTGAAAAGAGCCCTTTCATATGTGAATTGGTTAGTAAGAAGCAGAGTGCTCTAAGAGCTTTTTTTTAAATATAATTATATTTTGAAGAAGTAATACATGCACGTGGTATAAAATTCAAACGCACAAAAGGGTAGAGGATGAAAAGTAAGCCCCGCTCCCAACCCCCAGCCACGCTGTCTCTCTTCCTTGATGCAACTCCTATTACCAACAATCAGATCTGTATAGATATTCTCTTGTACACTCTGTTACCCAAATGGTAGATATACGCTGTTTGGTACTTAACAATGTCTTAGAGATGGTTCTGCATCCAAACATATAACGCTGCCCCTTTTAAAATGTCTTCTATAGCCTCCTTTAAGGCTGAAGATGATATCCAGGGAACCCTAGGTATTAGACTTTATTAGGGAAATTCAATGCTTTTTTCCCTCCCTCCCTCCCAACGTGCACAGAAACACACACAAACTCACACACATGAAAGTATCCACACCAACATGAACAATACGATGGCAAGGGATTTTCCTGGTTCTGGAAAAGAGGTCTCAGCTAAGTTGACACACAGTTAAATTAGTAAGCTTGTCCATGTTCACAACTCAGAGGTAATGCCTCTAGTATTGGGAAATGTTATTAGATGAAGTATCTGTTCATATGAATCATCACATATTTCTTCTTCAATAGAAACAGTAGAGCCATTAAGAGTCCAGTGGCCAGTGTTGCCTTTTGTCGTCCAAACCTGAGGCTGTGGAGGGAGGTTTAAAATATATATCATTAACATTGATGATCTCTTCATTGTTTGATGTAGCATTCAGGAAAGCCAGTCATTGCCCATGTCCTTTTACTGTGATATTTATCATGCAAAGCAGAATTCATCCTGCAAACAAAAGCTCAGGTGTAAGGTGGTGGGGCAGGGTGGGGGGAGAGCCACATTGGAGGAAAATACATCATTTGTTTTTCTGCTGTTGAGGAACAGAATAGCCTCCTGGGGAAGTGGACTGAGAAGTGTCTGCATATCCTCCAGGATTTCTGGTTCTGGAAAGAACCCTGGACTGGGGCTCAGGAGATTGGGGTTCAAGCCCCACTCTGCCCCCAGTGAGCATGAGTGAAGGTCATCTGGTCAAGGCAGTTCCTTTCTCTAGGTGCAGATGCTCTCAGGTGAACTAAAACTGATGAGGTGAACTTCAGAGTCTCACTGAAAAATACACGTTTGAGTTTCTCTACCTCACAATGGCCTTCTCCTCTTTGTCTCTTACAGTTGTTGGATTAAAGATGATTCTTTTACACCTCAGTTGTGGCTTATTTTTGCCTCATATTTCTAATGAATCTTTCCATGTTCTGCACTGTTCTCGTTCAACTGAATTCTATTAACTCCCAAAGCCGGAAGCCTCAGCGGAGGATGACCCTGCATGATCTCAAAGGCACAATGAGCCTGACATTCTTACTTGGCCTCACCTGGGGGTTTGCTTTTTTTGCCTGGGGACCTGTGAGGATCTTGTTCTTATATCTTTTTGCCATTTTCAACACATTGCAAGGTAACTTCTGCTTCTTTGTACTTTCTGGGGCTAGCCAGACCTCCACCAAAGCTTTGCTGCTTTGGAAAATAATCTCACATTTTGGGGATTGAGAGGAGGAAAAGATACTCCAAGAGGCCTTTGCTATCAATGAATTGACAGGCAGCCATTGGAAACATTACCCAGATGTTAGGACTTCATTAAATGAGCTCACTCTAACTTGGGGATATAGAGAAAAGCCCAGAGAGCTAACTCAACTCCAGCTAGTTGGCAATGTTTATATTAAACACTGACTGGTGCTACTTTCTACAGTATTCACTGCATCACCACAGCGTGCTCGTAAGTGTACGAATTCGCACTCACGTTGACATTCTGAAGTGCGCAATCCCGTTGGAAACAATAATTACTGGACAGTAGATGCATTAAACTTTTGACCCCCTAGACTCTGGCTACATCAGAGATCCAAATATTGTGGGAAGGAGCCAGACTAGGAAATTAGAGAGTCATAAAGGAATGAAGATGAAGAGCAAAGAGCAGTGGGCCAAGGCAAGAGGCCAAGGTTCTAGTCTGGTTTTGCTCCAGATCGACTTTGGAAAAGTCACCAAAATGGTTGAATTAGATGATCGTAAGCTAATGTCTCTATAGCTCTTTAATTTCATTCCCATTTTCTGGTGAAAGGAGGAAATGATAGTGACATGGTAGGTGATTGCATGGTAGGCCAAAGATGTCACAAGAAGTAAAAGCGAGAGGTCTGGTTAATATACCTCTAATTGTTGATGTTCATTTTAACCTGACTTTGCCTATTACAAATCCTCAGAGGAAGAGGCATGCAGAATGATTTCCTGGGAGTCTCGGACTCTGCCCCATGTTCTACTTGTCCTCGAATTTGGCCCAGTTCAGTTGAGCTACTGGGGCAGCTGTGAAGTTCAGGAGCCCCCATTAATACGCACAAGTACCTCCAGCAGTATTTTTTTTTACCCGTTTGGACTGTAGTCTCCAGGTTATTCAAGTGCCCGTGAGATGCTCCAGCAAGAGAAGAGTTCTATGGTCAAAAAAGTTCGGGAAATGCAGCCAACTATACTCCCCCATTCTTAAAATGGCACCATATATATTATCATGGTAAAAGCTCTGAGAAATTCTGCTGGGGAAAAAAAAAAAAAAAACCTTTAAAATTTTGTTTTAACCTAGCATTTAAAAAACCTCAGAGCACTTTGTCGTGTGGTTATTAACCCCTGTGGAATCTTGGGAAATATGAATTGGTAGGTAGTTATTCTCTGCCAGGCATTTGCAGGGTGCTGCAGGGTGATGGGGGAGCATTCTAGAATAAGGCACCATTTTTGCTCTCATGTCTTTCAATTCAAGAAACCATCTCATTTTTGAGCAATGAAGTGTATCAGCTGAAATTTCTGTCCCACCAGATTCTTCCAAGCATGTTCTGATTGGAATGTAAAAAGACACAAAATGCCTGGGTGTAGAATGTGTGCAGGAGTCGATTAGGAACCAGATACCCGGGCAGATTTCTTCCTCAGCAGTAAGTCCATTCACTAATTCTGAGGAGAAACACACTCACCCTATGGAAAGAGGGGCTGATGGGGAAGCTGACAAAAGAACAAGAAAGCAAAGCAGTTTAGAGCTTACAAATGGAGGAGGGGTGTCTTCAAAGCAGCAAGTGCTCCATTCCTACGGTGGAAAGGGAAAGTAGTTTCTAAGCAGGAAGCCTCTGTGGCTTAGAAGCAGAATCCAGCGGGGGATCTCCTGAGGACTAAGCCCAAAGTCCCATAGATCCAGCATCGACAGAGCCAAGCTGTCTCTGTCTGTCAGATACGCTTTATGTCAACCAAGCACCAAATCTTTCTAGTTCCTAGTCCTGCTTTACAGGATAGAATGTGCCATCTTACAGAGAGGGGGTTTGCAGAGCCCTGAGTTTCAAACTCAAGTTACACACACACACACACACACACACACGTGCGCGTGCGCGCACCCAGAGCAAGAACGCAATGAAACAAGTGAACAAATTAGCCATTTAAGACAGATGGCAAGTTTGTAATTCTGGCTGAAGGGGGTTGCCCTGTGGTCTGGTGTGAAAAAATGCTGTGCCTGATGAGCCATTTCTGAAGGAGGGATGCACAAGTAAAAATGCAGGTGACAAAAACCTGACATCTTCCCTCATGCCTGTGTTCTAGTGAGTAAGCAGATCAATCTGTTATTGGAAAGAAAAGGGAAGGCTGACAGGCAGAGAGGGAGAGCGGGCAGGCAGCTCATTGGAATTCACATAATAACCTTTAAGTCTGAGAACAAACTAAACTCCATGCAGGAAATCAGAACGATAATAGGTGCTTGTTGTCCCCGTTGCCCCTTGCTTCTGCTGCTCGGAAAGAGTGAGCGCTGCTCGATTCATCACCACAGTTGTGTGGTGACACGGAGATAAAGCCCTCAGGGGAGTGAGTGACACATGTCATTCCTTTTAGCCTCCAGACTGCTGCCTCCCACCTGGAATCAGAGAGTCTCAGGGCTGAGGCTGGGGACCCGAGCTCTTCCCAATCCAACTTCCCATGGAGTGACAGAAAGTCACTACCTGAAACTTTCCAGAGACAGAGAGCTCACCGTTCCATAAAACAGAGCATTCAATTTCTCTCTTTGTCTGATGGAAATATATTTGACATTTAACACTGTGTAAATTTAAGGGGTACAGCATGTTGATTTGATACACCGATATGTTGTAATATAATTACCACTGTAGCTTCTAATTGGCTCTGCATCTTATCCGGGTCACTCTTTTCTGAGGGTAGAATGTATAGTGCAGTGGTTAAGACCTTGGGCTCTGCAGCCAGACTGTCTGCATTTAGCCCTGTGACTCAGTCAAACGTACTAGACTTCCTGGACTCTGAGGTCTCTCAGCTATAAAAATGATGCTCATAGCACAATGCCTATGATATAATCATTACTTAGTAAACACTAGCTGCGATGTGTTACCATGTGGTGGTTCTGTGGCTTCCTCCGATTGCTCCTGGTTCTAACCTGGCCACCACACAGAACAAGCCCAATTTGTCCTCTTCATGACAGCCCTTTCAGATCTGTAACTATAGCTACCATCTCTCCCCACCCTATGTTCCCACTCCGAGTCTTCTCTATTCTTGAATACTTCCATTTGTCATCATTGTTTCAAAACGAAGCCTCCCAAACTGAATATGGCACTGGTAGGAGAAAGGACCACACCAGGGCAGGATGGCAGGAGACTCTTAACCCACCTCAACCAACATTCTTGACTTCCACTAATGCCCTAGCTGAAGTGAGCTTTGGGGGCATTTACTACTGTCTCGTGCTCAACTTGCAATGAGTTAAGACCACTCCAACCCATTACTAATTATTTACTTCAGCACAACTGGCCAGTGAGGAGGCAAGCTGAACCTGGTATAGAGAACAAAGGGTTGCAAACTGCTCTTGGGCAAAAAAAAAAAAAAAAGATTTTGAGGCCCAAGAAGATAATATGAAGGCTGCAGAAAACTGTGAGAGTTTGTGTATCAAGTGCCTTGGAGTTCAAGTCAACAAACATCTGTAGGGCTACCACACATAGTACCGGAGGCAAAGGGAGAAGTGATAATGAGGATGAAAAGACTTTACAGCTGGGTGCAGAGATGGGCAATACATGGAGACTGTGGCCACATATAGCAAGTCATATAAGAAACAGAGTGCTATGGGAGCTCAGAAGTGGGAAAGATGAGTTTCAGTTTGAGGCACCTGGAAAGGTTTTGTTAATGTTTATTTCTGCCAATCCCACCCCCAAGCTTTAGGAGATCCAATTTGCCCTCCAGAGCATTTGCCATAAGGAAAATCTCAAGTCCTACTTTTTTCTCCCAAGGAGATATTTTAGAGGATGGGGATGAGAAATGGCCAACGCTGCTGGTGGATGCCCTCAGTCCCGCTCTATCCCACTTTCAGGACAAAATCAGGGCTGGCAGTGGAAAATGAGGGCACCAAATTTGTGATTTCCACACAGTGTAATTGTGCCAAAGAGCATGTCTATTAGTTATTTACTGCTGTGCAACAAATTACTCCCAAACTTTAGCAGCCTAAAGCGATAGCACTTATCATCGTACCTAGTTACTGAGGGTTGGGAATTCAGGCACAGCTTAGCTTGGTGGTTCTGGCTCAGGGACTCTTTTTTTTTTTTTTTAAGTGGGCTCCATGCTAGAGCCCAATACAGGGCTTGATCTGAGCTGAGATCAAGAGTTAGATACTTAACCGACTGAGCCACCTAGGAAGCCCCGGCTCAGGGACTCTGATGAAGTTGCAATCAAGCTGTCAGCCAAGGCTTTAGTCATGTGGAGACTTGACTAGCTCCAGAGAATCTGCTTCCAGGAAGCTTCCCTCACATGGCTAGGGACTGGAAGCCTTACTTCCTCACTGTGTGGGCCTCTCCACAGGGCTACAAGGTGTCCTCAAGCTATATAACACTTGGATTCCTTTGGAGGGAGTAATCAGAGATAGAGAGAAGCCACAATGTCTTTTATAAGCCATTCTTGGAAATGACATGACATCACTTCTGCCATATTCTATTGGTGGGTGTGGGAAGAGATGACACAAGGATACACATCCCAGGATACAGGGATCATTGAGAGCCATCTCGGAGGTGGACTACCATTGAAGGGCTGCTCTCTCCAGCTCTAGGATAGACAGCAGCCCCGGGGGAAAACTGTGGTTGATATGAAGTCTTGATACAGACCTTCTTACCATCACTGCCTCTGACAGGGAAGCTAGAAAGATGAGCTCAGAAAGCCATAATGGCCCTGAGGTTATTTAGGAGGAGTGTCTATGGTGATAAGAGTAGATCTGGGTCTGGGTGTTGGTGACCGCTGGCGAAAGAAGCTGAAATAGACTGACCTTCTTCTTTTGACTTAGGATTCCTCATTTTCGTGTTTTACTGCTGGATGAAGGAGAGTGTGCGGGAGCAGTGGCAGATACACCTCTGTTGTGGGTGGTTACGACTGGATAACTCTTCCGGTAAGATGCCAGTTTGCGTAAGGTTTTGAATTTTACAGGTTTCGCACAACTGATCTGATTAACTTGTCTCTTGACTTGAGTTCATAGAGCATCGGCATCAAAATGGAGGCTGTTTCTATGTCATGAAAATGATTTATACTTTTGTGCTGAGATGAATGAAGTCAAGTGAAGAATGTGACTTGGGCCATATTTTAACTTGAGGAAACTTCTCTTTTGGCCCAGATTCTTGGATTGCTTGTCCTTGCTGTCACCTCAGTCTCAACTCAATTCAAAAGAATATTGATTGAGTGCCCTACTGTGTTTCAGGCCCTGGGTCACAGGGGCTTTCTGGCCTGTAGCCAACAGTGGGTGGAGTGGATGTGGGAAGCAAGGAGAGAGAGTGGAGGTAGGAAGAAGCCTAGCTGGATGGAGCGATGGCCCATCCTATACAGTGGAAGATGAGATAGACCCCGATGTTGTCTCTGAGAATATCTCCAGTCCAGGCAAATTGATTTTCTTTTTTCTTTTTTTTTTATTATGTTATGTTAATCACCATACATTACATCATTAGTTTTTGATGTAGTGTTCCACGATTCATTATTTGCGTACAACACCCAGTGCTCCATGCAGAATGTGCCCTCTTCAACACCCATCACCAGGCTAACCCATCCTCCCACCCCCCTCCCCTCCAGAACCCTCAGTTTGTTTTTCAGAGTCCATCGTCTCTCATGGTTCATCTCCCCCTCCGATTTCCCCCCCTTCATTCTTCCCCTCCTGCTATCTTCTTCTTCTTCTTCTTCTTTTTTAACATACAATGTACTATTTGTTTCGGAGGTACAGATCTGTGATTCAACAGTCTTGCACAATTCACAGCGCTTACCAGAGCACACACCCTCCCCAACGTCCATCACCCAACCTCCCCATCCCTCCCACACCCCACCACTCCAGCAACCCTCAGTTTGTTTCCTGAGATTAAGAATTCCTCATATCAGTGAGGTCATATGATACATGTCTTTCTTTGATTGACTTATTTCGCTCAGCATAATACCCTCCAGTTCCATCCACGTCATTGCAAATGGTAGGATTTCATTCCGTTTAATGGCTGCATAATATTCCATTGTATATATATACCATATCTTCTTTATCCATTCATCTGTCGATGGACATCTTGGCTCCTTCCACAGTTTGGCTATTGTGGACATTGCTGCTATAAACATCGGGGTGCATGTACCCCTTCGGATCCCTACATTTGTATCTTTGGGGTAAATACCCAGTAGTGCAATTGCTGGATCGTATGGTATCTTTGCAAATTGATTTTCTATGTATCAAAGTCTCTTCCATCCAATTCAGACAGCTTCTTTCAGCCTCAATGCAAAGCCCAGTCTGTTTCTTTTAGGGAAGGCAAGTGCTTGAACTTGAAGATTTTACAAGTAGCACAGAGAACTTCCTCCTTTATGCTGGGCATGTCAGTAACCCACTGGTCTCTGTGCCAAGCTCTAAGGAAAGCAGGCATCCTTGGTAAATGGATTAGCTCTGCCTGTATCACACATTACAGTATAAATTTTACTTTTCACAACTTCATAGAGAAGCTGACTCCTTGAGGTACCTAGAGTAGATGCTCTGTGCATTGAGCTTTATATTTTTAACAAGGTTATCGAGGTACAATTTACACATCATGCAATTCGCCTGTGTTAAGTGTAGAATTTGATGCGTTTTATGGTTTTAACTTTTCTGGTGTCATTTCAGATGGGGACAGCAGGTATGGGCTACATGTTGGGTATAAACAAGAGAGACTGAAGAAAACCTTCCAGGACAAATTGTTGACACCATCCCTCAAGTCGACTGCCACGAGTTCTACCTTCAAATCTTCAGGCTCTGCACAATGCACTCTTTCAGAAATCAGCTTCCCAAATGGTGAGAGAAAATCTATGCTGTCTACCCTTGCATTCCAGAAATATTGAGTTAATGTGAGGCCACATACGTGGTCTTGGGAGATACTACCTCCTCAAAACTGAAAACACGTGTGCACGTATATACTTGGGCTCATTCCTGGCTGAGAAAGTGCATATAGAAGCACCTAGTGAACTTAGTAAGTGCAAACCTGGTGGGTTATTCAACTAAGATGGGAGGGAAGAGACTAGAGGTCAAAACAAATTCATGTGTAATTCAAAACAACGGTCAGAGACTGTGAAAGCCAGAAGGAACCTTAGACAATGTCCAGTGTGATCCCCTCATTTTCCAGATGAGGAACCTTAAGCAGGGAAAGGAAAGGGGTCTTATGGACACTCACTCACCGTCAGCAGCAGAACTGGGGCCAGAACTCAGGTGGCCTGGCTCGCACGCCACCAAGAACACCCACTGAGCTGCACGACACTCTTAGTTGCTCAACTTCTTCCATAGAAAGCTAAATTTCTAGGTACAGAGATAGTTGTTGAGGTGGAGGTGGGTATTGGGAGGGAAAATGTAAGGAAAGGATTGATCTTTTTTTAAAAGATTTTATTTATTTATTTGACAGAGAGAGACCCAGCGAGAGAGGGAACACAAGCAGGGGGAGTGGGAGAGGGAGAAGCAGGCTTCCCGCCGAGCAGGGAGCCCGATGCGGGGCTCCATCCCAGGACTCCGGGATCATGACCTGAGCCAAAGGCAGACACTTAAGGACCGAGCCACCCAGGCACTCCAGGAAAGGATTGATCTGAAGGCCCAAAGTGAAGGGAAAAGCAAAGGGAACAAGAACTTGGGAATTCAAGCTGATGTTGTGATGCCTCTGTGTTGTGTACTTCCAGCTGGACAATGGTGCAGTGACCTTTGGTTGCCTTTCTTAAGGACCAAAGTCGATTCCAGTTCACACATACAGAACAGCTTTGGCGGCCCGGCTGTAGTCATTCTCACACCTTCTCAGGGCTGGTAGTGGGACTGCCACTTGTATTTTTCATTATGTTGGCTTCACACAGCAGTTCTATTTCCAAGGTCTGCGGCCAATCTGGAATCAGCATGGTGGGTAAAAAAAATAAATAGAGGCACCAAGGGGCACCTGGCCGGCTTGGTTGGTAGAGCATGCGACTCTTGATCGTGGGGTCATGAGTTCAAGCCCCACGTTGGCTGTAGAGATGACTAAAAAGATTTAAAAAAATAATAAAATCTTAAAAAAAAAGACAAAGGCACAAAACTTGGAGTCAGAAGGCTTTGGTTCAAGTCCCAGCTCTGTCACTAACTCTGTGACCTTGGGCACATCTCTCCCCTACTCAGAGCTACATTCTCTCCACCTTCAACATGAGGAGGCTAGGATGGGTGGATAATCTCCAAAGTGCCTACCAGCTTCTGGACTGTGTGGGGCAACATTGTTTCCCAGTTTAGGCTGGTTAACTAGTGTACAGTCTCAGTCTCCTTCTCTGTATGGGAAAGTTGATGCATATGGAAAGACACTTTCCGTGCCCACAAGTGTCCATCACTCTGGCCAGCTAACTTGCAGATACGTTCTGGTGCTCATATGGAGGCACTGGGGAGCCATAGCATATAATAGAGGGCAGGAGTTGTGGAAGCTGCTTAGTAGATAATAGTTGAGGCTGATAGGGAAATATCATTTTTGCAAAAGGGTTAATTGGTATTGGCTCTCCTGCTGTCCCTGGGGGATATAGTTTCATTAGCAAATATATGGCTTGAATGTACGTGTCTTTCTTCGGGGGGGGGGGTAAGCCCACCGTGCCTAGGATTTTAGGGTTGTTTTTAATACCATGCCCAGGATTTTAGTGTTGTTGTACCAAGCGATAGATCCGGAGAGCCGAGGGGCCTGGGGTTGTGACCGTGACTCAGCTGGTAGGGCAGGTAGTGTAGCCTCTTGGACCACAGGTTCCAAATCTGCAGTCTGGATGTGGCCCTCAGAAAATCAGAGCTAGCCGCTTAATTTCCATTAGCACGGAGTGAAGCCGAGCCTTCTGTACCACTGGGCGCTCTCAGGCTTGACAAACGGCAAAGGCTTCCGAGCAAGAATATCAGATTCACAGGGGCTGTAGATATGTGTGTGTTACCAGTTTGTGTTGTCCCTTCCTGAAGGCCTTCAAGGTTTGTCCAGGAATATCCTCCCCTAGGTTAAGGTTACTATGAATAATACAGCCAGTTATTCACAATGTGGGAAGAACATATGCACTTGTAATAGCCCAAACAGTGCTGTTGGGATGAATGAATTTACCCTGGATCTGTATAAACTATCCAAGGAAAGCCCCACCACATTTACTTCCTTTCTAATTCCTCTACTCGCTCCTTCGTGTGGTAAAAAAAATGTCTGATGCTTCTACTATCTGCGAAGTCCCCGATGCCATGGCTGAAAATGTTCTTTTTTTCTTTAACGCAGGTGACTTTGATGAAGATCCCTACTGTTTCTCTCCCTTGAGTTGTGAAGTTGTGCCTAATTATGTGGGAAGAATATTACCTGTGGAAGTCAAAATGAGTTCCACTCACAAAGATTTCTTGACTAATTCCCAGCAGAGATACCCACCTCCCCCCAGCCCCAGATTAGGGAAAATGTTGGGTTTGTGAAGCCATCTGCTCCGACTTTTATTCTAAATTTTATTTTGGAAGGAGCAGAATGAAATAGCATTTAGTGGATATTAAAGTCAGAATAATTCTCCTATTCATTGTTATAGTTGTTGCTTTCTTTTTCTAGGTAAGATTTGAGCCTATAGTTATGGTATATTTGGGGACACATGTCTACAGCACTGGAGATTTTGTTTCAGAAACTCTAAGTGTCCTATCCTGAGAGAAAAGAATCAAGATCAGGGTCCTTACTGCACTGGGAATGAAATAATTTCAGGTGGCCAAGGTTTTTGGATATCCAGTTGGCTTGACACTCACAGGGGAAGTAGGAAGAGTCACAAGGTCATACCTTTTGGGAAAAAATATCCTGTTGGCCTGTCATGACAAAGCATCTGAAATCCCCATTATTCAAGTCACTCTTTGATTGAATCCCTTTGTTGACATGTAAACATGTTTTGTGAAGAGGGTGGCTCATTAATCCAGAGACACCAGTGAACTCCTTAGTGGGGATGGATTTCTCAGCCAAGGCAGCCCCTGAGGGGACAGTGAGCAGGGTTCTGAGGAATATAACGAGTAGTTGCTGCTTGAGGCTGGTGGTTCTCTCTATGGAGGAAGGGACAAGTCAGGGTGAGCGGGAGAGTGCTGGGATAGAGGTGAAAAAGAGTCACCCAGAGGCAACAGTGAGCGCGGAGGATGAATTCTGCCCGCTTTTTGCTCTGTAGCTAAGCTCGATGCTGTGTGGCCTTCTTTTTTTTTTTTTTTTTTTAATTTTATTATGTTATGTTAGTCACCATACAATACATCATTGGTTTTTGATGTGGTGATCCACGATCCATTGTTTTCATATAACACCCAGTGCTCCATGCAGTACGTGCCCTCCTTGATACCCATCACCGGGCTAACCAATCCCCCCTCCCCTCTCCCCTCTAGAACCCTGTTTGTTTCTCAGAGTCCATAGTCTCTCATGGTTCATCTCTCCCTCCAATTCCCTCCCCATTTTTCCCTTCCTTCTCCTAATGTCCTCCATGCTATTCCTTATGTTCCACAAATAAGTGAAACCATATGATAATTGACTTTCTCTGCTTGACTTATTTCACTTAGCATAATCTCCTCCAGTCCCATCCACATTGATGTAAAAGTTGGGTATTCCTCCTTTCTGATGGCTGAGTAATATTCCATTGTAGATATGGACCACATCTTCTTTATCCATTCATCTGTTGAAGGGCATCTCGGCTCTTTCCACAGTTTGGCTATTGCGGACATTGCTGCTATGAACATTGGGGTGCCTATGGCCCTTCTTTTCACTACATCTGTGTCTTTGGGGTAAATACCCAGAAATGCGATTGCTGGGTCATAGGGTAGCTCTATTTTTAAATTTTTGAGGCACCTCCACACTGTTTTCCAGAGTGGCTGTACAAACTTGCATTCCCACCAACAGTATAAGAGGGTTCCCCTTTGTCCACAACCTCTCCAACATTTGTTGTTTCTTTCCCTGTCCATTTTTGCCATTCTAACTGATGTAAGGTGGTATCTGAGTGTGGTTTTGATTTGAATTTCCCTGATGGCTAATGATGATGAACATTTTTTCATGTGTCTGTTAGCCATTTGTATGTCTTCTTCAGAGCAGTGTCTGTTCATCTCTTCTGCCCACTTTTTGACTTGATTATTTGTTTTTTGGGTGTTGAGTTTGAGAAGTTCTTTATAGATCTTGGATATCAGCCCTTTATCTGTAGTGTCATTTGCAAATATCTTCTCCCATTCTGTGGGCTGCCTCTTTGTTTTGTTGACTGTTTCCTTTGCTGTGCAGAAGCTTTTTATCTTGATGAAGTCCCAAAAGTTCATTTTTGCTTTTGTTTCACTAGCTTTTGGAGATGTATCTTGAAAGAAGTTGCTGTGGGCGATGTCAAAGAGGTGACTGCCTATGTTCTCCTCTAGGATTTGGATGGATTCCTGTCTCACATTGAGGTCTTTCATCCACTTTGAGTTTATCTTTGTGAATGGTGTTAGAGAATGGTCGAGTTTCATTCTTCTGCATGTGGCTGTCCAATTGTCCCAGCACCATTTATTGAAGAGATTGTCTTTTTTCCATTGCATGTTTTTTCCTGCTTTGTTGAAGATTATTTGACCATAGAGTTGAGGGTCCATATCTAGGTTCTCTATTCTGTTCCATTGGTCTATGTCTGTTTTTGTGCCAGTACCATGCTGTCTTGGTGATCACAGCTTTGTAATATAGCTTGAAATCGGGCAACGTGATGCCCCAAGCTTTGTTTTTCTTTTTCAACATTTCCTTGGTGATTCGGGGTCCTTTCTGATTCCATACAAATTTTAGGATTGTTTGTTCCAGCACTTTGAAAAATGTCATTGGAATTGTGATCGGGATGGCATTGAAGGTGTAGATTGCGCTGGGTTGCATAGACATTTTAACAATGTTTATTCTTCCAATCCATGAGCATGGAGTGTTTTTCCATCTTTTTGTGTCTTCTTCAATTTCTTTCATGAGTGTTCTGTAGTTCCTAGAGTATAGATCCTTTACCTCTTTGGTGAGGTTTATTCTGAGATATCTTACGGTTTTCGGTGCTACTGTAAATGGAATCATTTCTCTAATTTCTCTTTCTACAGATGCATTGTTAGTGTATAAGAAAGCAACTGATTTCTGTGCATTGATTTTGTATCCTGCCACATTACTGAATTGCTGTATGAGTTCTAGTAGTTTGGGGGTGGAGTCTTTTGGGTTTTCCACATAAAGTATCATGTCATCTGCGAAAAGAGAGAGTTTGACTTCTTCTTTGCCAATTTGAATACGTTTAATTTCTTTTGGTTGTCTGATTGCTGTTGCTAGGACTTCTAGTACTATGTTGAACAATAGTGGCGAGAGTGGGCATCCTTGACGTGTTCCTGATCTTAAGGGAAAGGCTCTCAGCTTTTCCCCACTGAGGATGAACTTCTGGGACTTCATCAAGATAAAAAGCTTCTGCACAGCAAAGGAAACAGTCAACAAAACAAAGAGGCAGTGCACAGAATGGGAGAAGATATTTGCAAATGACGCTGTGTGGCCTTCTTAATCCTCTCCCAAATATTGCTACTGAGCCTTCCCAGCCAGGCAGGTTGCTCACATATGGCCTTGGGTAGCAAGAAATAAAGAGATAAACACTTTGGAAGGATACACAAGCAACTGGTATCAGTGGTTGCCTTCAGGAAGGGGAACTGGGTATCTGGGAAGAAGGGAGATTGACTTTTCACCCTATGCCTCTTGATATCTTTTGAATATTTTACTGAGAGAATATATTGCTCTTTAGGCACTAAATGGGGGATTGGACCTTTCCAATGAGAAAGAGCTGGCTTCACATCCCAGCTTTGTCACTTCTTAGAGTTGAGACCCAGGGAAATAACAGTAGTAGTACATTCGTTACAGAGTTCAAGTGAGACTTACATGAAGGCTACACATTTTCAAGCACAGTGAAACACAGTACATCTGAACCCCTTTCTCTTTATAACCCACTAACCCTCTTACCTCTGATCCCCTTGTAGCGCACCGACCGTATTTGCCCCATTAAAGCTACCCCCTTGGATCCTGTAAGCAAGAGTTAATGCTGACTACTAAATGGACCAGAGCGCTGGTGCCGGTCACTGGTACGAAGCTCATAGACTCCCCTCCGCCCCTTCTACCATCTGAGGTAACATAAAAAAACGTAGGCAGGCCCTTAGGCCCCTGGATACCTGCCTCAGAGTCAATCCCCTTGCCTACGAAATTTTGCTCTTGAGGTAATCCCACAACCATCGTTTTCCATAGGTCTGTATGTGTACTTTTTTTTGTAGGGGAAGGTGAGTGTGTGAGTGTGTGTGCGTGCATGCATGCGTGTGTGCATGTGTGTGTGTGCGTGTGTGTATGTGTGAGAGGACTAACAGAATGAACAAACTGTGTCTTGAATGTTGGAAAATGTCTTAGAACTGACAATATTGTCACCTTCATTCAAAAAACAAATTTAGGGACAGGACTTGGGTATAATTAGCAAATCTACAAATATATACATTCTGCAAATGCTTTGACTTGGGGGATCATTTTGGCTGTGAAAATGCCCATGACTGTTGTACTCCTGCTGGAGCGATGAATGTACAGCCGTCTCTAATGACCTGACGTGCTGTCAAGAACAAAAACATTTTGGGCGCCTGGGTGGCTCAGTCGGTTGGGCGACTGCTTTCGGCTCAGGTCATGATCCTGGAGTCCCTGGATCGAGTCCCGCATCGGGCTCCCTGCTCGGCGAGGAGCCTGCTTCTCCCTCTGACCCTCCCCCCCTTCATGTACTCTTTCTCTCTTTCTCATTCTCGCTCTCTCAAATAAATAAATAAATCTTAAAAAAAAAAAAGAACAAAAACATTTTATAGAAAAGTTCATGATTCCTGTCATGACTCCTCCTACTAATTAGTAAAACATGGGTTTTCCACAAATTAGACAACAATTTGAAATTATAGGGAAAACACCGATTAAACATCTCTCAGGCATCCTTTGGTTTGCTCCTCCTGTGTCCCCAAAATGGCTGACACTTGTGTGAAGGCAGGCCCACATGATTATGGAAGAGACCCTAGAACCTTTGTCCTGCTTTCAATCAACAATCCACCCCCAAGTATTCATTGAGCCATGCCATGGAGAGAAAGATTCAGAGGTGTCATCCGTAGGTCACTACCTCCAACAGCTTACCGTCCACTTGAGGAGACCAGATACACACACTAGAAGAGTCAACGATTGAAGCAGCGAAGATATGGTGGAAGAGTAGTGCTTCACAGGCAGTCAATGATGTGGTTTTTAGTCATGCTGAAGGTGGGGTATTCTAGGTTTGGAGGGGGGCAGCTTCGGTAAGGCAGGATTTCATTTCTCAATACCACAGGCAAATGATCTGTATGAAGTACAGGTCAGAAAATTTACAAAGCCCCTTTGGAGCTACAAGGCATGGGCTCTGTCTTCTGATTCTCTGCTGTGTCTTAGCTACCCTGCGGGCAAGCTTGAA